ATACTTACCTTTAGAAACACGTCTTCGCCCAAGAAGACAGGGAACATCTCAACTAATAATTGAGAAAAAGGGAGGTTTTACACTACAGTTAGTGTGTGTGTGTATGGATCAGAGGCAGCACTGACTAAAACCTGGGCATCAGGATAAGTAAGGAATGACTGGATTCTTGTTTGTTTATGTTCAGCCCAATGCCCACTCCCTGTAGATATAATACTCGAGCCAACCTTTTACTGAAGACCAACTCATCCCCATAGACTCAGGAAGTTCATGTGACTTTGAATGGGAATACAGAAATAAGAGAGAAAAAAATAACTTACAAGGGGGGGTGGGAAACCCTTTTCTTCTACTTGTGTAAGTGTTCGCCAAAAAACAATCCGTTAAATCTGTCAATAGATATACTGTACAAATGCATCAAGGTAATATGTAAACTGCACATGGATCAATGGTGCTGTGCTCTGGGGATGTGCCACTTCACCAAGTCAAAAATGTAGTCTAGTTGCAACACAAACACGTGAAACTTATGATCCTTAAAACCTCTGAGTCTTTAAACATGGAACTGATTGATATTCACTTACAGTCAGGAACCAGGCGAAGCATGATGAAAATCCAAAGCTTTCTCCCCAACCCACCCACCCCATCAACGATGCTTTACAAATCTTTGAGCTCAGGATCAACAACGTTGCAAATTCAATAAACGAGTAACGGTGCAGTAGTTTCCTGCAACACAGTCTTCACCAGGTGTGGATAATTGTTGTTATTCCTATGTTTCCCCAACTGCCTGCTCCCTCTCTCGTTTACTGCGTTTGAATAAACTTCCTTATCAGACAGACAGACAGATAACAGCTGATGTCTCCCTCTGTCAATTTCATCCCTGTTGTCTCCAGGGCAGGAATGGGACCTGTCAATCAATAGTTACTGACAACCAGCTTTACCATTGAGAGCAGAGGCTGCTGTTCGGTCAATGGGAATAGATTCACAGAGGCGAGATGAGTTGTCATTGCAGAACGATCCAGCCAATCGGTTTGTGAATGATGTTGGGTGTTTACTATTTTTATATAATTGCTGGTCTGCAGTTACGGTTCCCCCCATAATACATTAAAGGGCAATTTGTGATTTTGTAATATGAGTAAAATCTAAACCTGTGAGCTTGGAATGTGATTTCACTGCGTCCCGTACAGTATTACATTGCCACAATGTAATAATAATATAATATCCTTTTGTTTTATTATATTTTATTACAATAATATAATAACACAATTATAATATTGTAATAGAAATAACTTATAATAAAATCCTTGCATTTGATACAGCGCCTTATCAAGTCATTAAGATGCCTCAAAGCGCTTCACAGAATATACTCTAAAATTAATTGACCGTAGATTTTGTGGGTGGAATTCGGCAACCAATACTGCACAGCAGTGTCCCACAAACAATCGTGGATCAAGTGACCAATTTAATATTATTTTTTTGAAGGTATTATTACCACCGGCAAAGGGATCCGCCAATCGACTAACGGGTTATATAGTGCAACGTAGCCAAGCTCAACTGCAGAAAATCTCCAATTATGCAATTATATTGGAGCAACTCAATAAAAAAGGTTAGCATTCTTCTTGTTATTGTCCCTCTTTGTTAATCAATGTCCCTTCATCACGTATTTGTAATAGATGTTAGATTGGCTTGGTATCGACTTCTAGATCACAGTCTGAATTGAGACTCCAGTGCAGTGCTGGAAGTTCACTGTTGCCTTTGGATGCAACATTAAATCAAGGTCCCGGAGCCATTCAGGTGGACGTTAAAGTCCCCGTGGCCACTATTCGTACGAGAGAACAGTTTCTCCCAGCGTCTTGGCCAACAATCCTCCAGATAAAATTGGTCATTCACTTCATAGATTTATCGTGAGTTATTGTGCACAAATTGGGAGACCTTATCTGCCTACAACCAGGCAATCACTGCACTCAGCAATTACCTGTTAAGTGCTTTGATATCTTTATACACGATAAGGTACTATAGAATGAAAGTTTTTCCCTTCTATATTAATTTGTCCAAATCTGCTTGAATGCTATTTGAATTTTTATGTAGCCATCCCCACATCTGAAAATATTTAAAGGGTCATACTCCCTTTGCCTCTGTCACTCATGAGCTATACATGTTTTGCCCACAAAATACAGTCAAGCCACCTTAAAGTATATCTTGTGAAGCACTTTGAGATGGTTCATTGATGTGATAATAATAATAATCCTTGCATTTGATATAGCATTTTAACAAGCCTTTGAGACATCTCAAAGTGCTTCACAGAATATATTTTGTGGGTGAAAGGCGGTAGCCAATTTCACACAGCAGTATCCCACAAACAGTTGTGGATTGAGTGACCAAATTATTATTATCCATTTATTACTTCAATGCACCATATCAAATGCAAGGATTATTATTATTATTGAAAGCTTCATTTGTAGAATATTGTGAGATCCATATCAAAAGATTGTTTCTTTTATCTACTGATTCATGTTGTATCCCATTACAGTACATATCAAATATTCAATGTCAGTCAAACACATTGTGCAATGAGACAAGAAATCCCCTGTGTTATTACTGTAAGGGCAGCTTTCTGTAACTTGCTGACCACTTACTCTTGGGATTGATAACAGAAGTGCATACTGTGTTATTAAGGTTCAGTTAAAGTCAGTAAAATTTATAAAGGAGAAAACTTGTCCTAACAAAAATATCAGTGCTATAAAATAGATGGGTAAAATACATGTAGGGAACAAACCTGCACTTTATATATGGAATAGCCTTTATTATTGTGAATCTGAGACTGTTTTTCCTCTCTATTTATTTGTTGTAGCACAGAAATTAGTTGCACTTTGCCCCGTATTGTTACATAAATTCTGGTTTGGAAACAAACTATCTGGATGTCAAACATTTAGGTAATCTAAAACAGAAGTCGCTGGAAACACTCAGCAGGTCAGGCAGCATCTATGGAGAAAGGAAAGTGAGTCAACGTTTCGGGTCCATGACCCTTCGTCAGAACTGGGACATGCTGGGAGGGAACCCTCCCTTTTTGTTTCAGATTTCTAGCATCTGCAGTATTTGGGTTTTGTTTAGGTATCTAAATGTGTGAGTTGATCTTTAACTGCCTGTTTTGTATGTTTTCATTATTTTTAGCCATAGGAACCTACAATATGCTGTCCCATATTCAATTACCTAGCTAGCACACAACTGAATCCTCATTTAGAATACATGAGTTCATACCAAGATTGAAAGTACAGTGCACTCATTTCAAGTCATGCATTTTGGCGTAACCAGGGACCAGGGCACCCTCTGCCTTCTTGTCCTCCTTGACCTCTCTGCTGTCTTCAGTATCGTTGACCACACTATCCTCCTCCCCTGCCTCTCTCTCATCTCAACCAATTTGGTTCTGGCCTTGAATGCTTCAGATCCTCCCTCTCATACTGTCTCCACTTCATCTTCACAATGGTTTCTCCTCAAGCCCCCGTACTGTCTCATGCGGAGTTCCTCAAGGCTCTGTCCTTGGTCCCCTCCTTTTCAATGTCTATATGCTCCCTCTTAGTGACATCATCCGCAGACACGGGATCAACTATCACATGTATGCGGATGACACCCATATATCTCTCTGCTTCCACCCTCGACTCCAGGGCCACTGCTGTCCTGACTGAATGTCTGTCAGACATCAAGTCCTGGAAGAGAGCTAACTTTCTACAATTGAACATCAACAAGACCGAGGCCCTCCTGATTGGCTCCTGCCTCCAAACCTCAGGCGCTGACAGCATCACTATTCAAAGATGCACACTCCACCTTATTAAGCTAGTCCGGAACCTTGGTGTCTTCTTTGACCCACAACTATCCATTCTACCCCACATCTGTGCCATGATCTGCTCTGCCTTCCCCCACCTCTGCAACATCATCCAGTTCCTCCACTGTCTCACATCGCAGGCCACTGAGACCCTCATACATTCATAACATCCAGGCTTGACTATACAAACTCCTTGCTTGTCGGCCTCTCCAACTCCTTCCTCCATAGGCTGAGATCATCCAGAACTCTGCAGCCTGTGTCCTCTCCTGCACCAGGCTCCGTGACCTTGTCACCCCCATCCTCACCCGACTCCACTGGTTTCCCATCACACAGAGGATACAGTTCAATATCCTCGTCCTCACCTTCAAAGCCCTCCTGGCTTTGCTTCCCCCTACCACTCAACCTTCTACCCCCTACCAACTTGCCTGCTCCTCCGTTCAGCGGGCTCTGGTCTGCTTCATGTTGCCCACCTTGCCTGCCTGACCATTGGCGCGCAGTCCTTCAGTCGCTCTGCCCCCACTATCGAGAACTCCATCCCACAATCCCTCTGCCTCGCCCCTTTCCCTTGCCTCCTTCAACACCCGTTGCAAGACCCTCACCTTTGACTGTGCCTTCGATCACCCCCCTTCACTCTCTGCCCTCCACCCTCTCCAATCCCGACTGCTAGCTTGGGTCCAAAACACTGACTGTTCAGCACGTTGGGACGTCCTCTCGACGTGAAATGCTCTAAACAAATGTAACGTTGTTGTTGTATCTCTGTGAAATATCTGATATATCGTGGAAATCATGGAACTGAACCAAGAGTTTGATCTATAATATATTGCATTGCTTTGTGTACATAGTTGTCATTGGCGAGCATTTGGAGGCAAAATAATAGTCATAAGCCATAGTTTTGAGTTGTGTCATGTAGCTGAATAAAATTAGCCATCACAGAACATCTGCTTGAAAGATAAGGTTTTGTTTTTATTAAAAACTGTCACCATTTGCAAAAACATTTTGATGTTTGGAGCAGCAGCCATGTTTTGATAATCAGTGGCAATTGCATTGCCCAAGTAACCAACATGTATCTGCCTTTCTATAACCAGTTCTAAAATATTTGTTTCATGGCTTATCAGCCCATTTCTGAGTCAGATGTAGTTCATTATGAGATTTTTTACACATTGCACCTCTTTTTAATGATGCAAAAAAATTGCTGTTAAAATAGTCATCTTTATTTGTTCTTCACATTTTTAGTTTATTTCTACAAAGTCACTCCTTGCATTGAATTCAGACACACCCTGTTTCCAATGTACTGAAGGAATCCATGATAATGTACCTGTGAAAAAAGAACAATAAAATATAATCAAGTCTCATTTTATTTGGGCAAGATTTCCTTTCCCGGAAATATTTCAAGTTGAGCACAAAGCATTCATATTAACCATCTGAAACAATATTTAACCATCTGAAACAATACATAGGCCAGCTACAATTTTCCAATTTCATAGAAACATGCAAAGTATAGCAATAGGAGAACATGAAGTCCACAGGTGTAAGGTGCCTTCCTGTTACAGAAATTTATTTTTAAAATCACTAGGTGCCTTTGTGTGGAAAGTCTCACTTACTCTCATTAGAATATGCTGGATATTGGTCTCCGGCACATTGCATTTATCTGTGGGTGGAATCAATTTCATTGGCATGATTTGTGGAAGGGCCCTTTCTCATTTACATGACATGTGGGAGAACTTGATCACATGATGCGTTGAGTGCTGAGATGTGTTGAGGTTCTATTTGGTTAGTGTGATAAATGACAAACAAATCACCATCAATAAAATCAAATTTTCTGGAAAGGTAGCTGTTAGGAACAAGATTGAATATCTTTTAGTTTTACAGTAAGTACAGTCATTTTAAGATGCACTTTGTTGATTTCTTATATGTCTGGTCCATTTCCCCACATTCAGAAAGGGAGCGGAAGATTGTCCAAACCGAACATATGAATAGAAAACTGAGGAATTAAATACTGTACTTGGGATTTTTTTCTAAAAACTTTCTGCATACTGTAATTTGCTGTTTACCAACAACTGTCTAATTGGCATTAATCACTATAACTAATTAAATTACTATCTAAAATTATTTATACTAAATAAATGTAATAACATTTTTAACATAGTTCAGTCCTTAATGCTGTGATGGATACACGGAAAGGATAGTATTCTGGAATGAAGAGAACAAATTGACTGAAGAGCCTTCTGTGTCTATGTATCTATATTCATCTGTGACCTTTTGTGGTCTGATAGACATTAACCATGGAAAAGTCAGTGATCCAAACTACCTCATGTATCGAACTATTCACAAGAGATGTTCAGATGAAGAAGGCCCTTCAATCACGTTCACTTCCTTGGTGCAAATATAACTCTGAAACATCTCCGTTTCTTACATTAAAACTTATCCATCCTTCATCATTTTATCAACTTGTTCCAGTGAGAGCTCCATAACATCCTCTGCAGCTTTTCCAGCTGCTGATAAAGTTGTCAGCATTGTCTCGGTCTCGCTGTGGATGATGCGATGGGCAGCGAGAAGATGCCTCTTTTGGAAATGTTTTACTGCCGGAGAAAAGGGGGGAAATTATGATGAATATATGTCCAGCATCTGTAGCAATGCTAGATTATATTAGTGGCCAATATTACTGCATTAACACCAATCTTAACTTTAAACAAAATGTTTACCCAACTATTTCCAGATCAACGGAGGATTAAAAGAAACTAATGAAAAGCAATCCCTTCATCTTAATTGATGAAGAGCAGTGTCACGTTACTAGGGTACAACATTAGTCCAATTATGAATATGTTCTGTGCAACTGAATTCATCTCCGTAGTAGGAAGCCTTCTCAATCTTTTATATCTCTACATTTTTTCTGCTCTACTAAATACAAAGGAGATTTTTTTTGTATCTTTCTAATGCTTTTCCAAAGAAAGGTTGTTCATGATGATAAAGCCTCTTGGTTGAGATTTGGGGCTTCTTATAATCTGCTTGTTTCAATCAGCAATTATTTTATTAATAATCAAGTGAAATTTGAACAAGTTACTTCTCGACTAAAACTCCAAATAGTTTGAACATTTGGAGTGGGGGGCAAAAAAGAGTTTTGTTTGTTAAATAAGGTAAAACCTCAATAAAAGGATTATGACCTATGTATAATTAAAAGATTCAATGAAATTCAAATGAACACTGCGCAATTCAAAAGAACTTGCAGAAAAACAGCTTCGCAATTAAAACTATATTCAAGAATTTGTCAAATTTGGGATGCTCTGAATTGCTAAGAAAATAGAGAAAATCTCAACCAAGATGGAATTTCTAATAAATGGAACATGAAAGCTATATTTTAGTGCAGGACCAGAGGTTTCAAATTCTGTAGGTGAATTTTTAAGCCTCACATAGATTATCATCAGTTTTCCTCTCTGCTTTGTGTTCTGATATCATTTAGTCATTGTGTGCCTTAAATTCACATCTCAAAATGGAGCAAATTGCATATGCTTTAGGGAAGAAATGGGGTCTAACGGGTCAAATGGTATTTTCACGTGCAAAGTGTTTGTATATTCCTTACCTCTGTTCCTCACTGTTATTTTTTGTACTTCTGGAATCAAGAAGTTATGCACCAATTTGGAAACAATCTCTTCTGACTGCATTATGTCCCGACTAATAGGAAAACAAAAAATTAGAGTGTTTTAGTGTTTTAGTTTTGGACATTGTAACAAGGATTGAGATTTTACTTGAGCAACAAAAGGAGATCTGATCCAGTAAAGCACACTGATAGTGAGAAAGACATAAATGCACAGAGAGTTAGAGAGGCAAGTAGAGAGAGACAGAAAGGCACATACACCCACAAATATTCGTAATATTTTTGGTCCCCATATTATAGAAAGGATATAGAGGCACTGGAGAAGGTGCAAAGGAAAGTTACATGGATGATATCGGAACTGCAAAGTTATAACTATTAGGAAAGACTGAACAAGGTTGGACTCTTTCCTCTTGAAAAGAGAAGGGTGAGGGGTGACCTAATAGAGGTCTTTAAAATTATGAAAGCTTTGATAGGCTAGACATAGAAAAGATGTTTCCACTTGTGGAAACGAGGGGCCATAAATATAAAATAGTCACCAATAAATCAAATAGGGAAGTCAGAAGAAACTTCTTTATCCAGAGAGTGGTGGGAATGTGGAACTTGCTACCACAAGGAGTTGTTGAGGCGAATAGCATAGATACATTTAAGGGGAAGCTCGATACGTACATAGGGAGAAAGGAATATGCTGATAGGCTTAGTTGAGGAAGGGAAAGAGGAGGCGCATGTGGAGCATAAAGATCGGCATAGACCAGTTAGGCCAAATGGCCTGTTTCTGTGCTGTATATTCTATGTAATTCTATGGAATATTTGCTCCATTTTATATCCACAATGGATTCATACTTGGAGGACACCTTGTCCAAGTTAATTTGGACACTGGGGTGTTAAAAATGTGGATTTAGCGCTCCGTAAAAAGTAGCTCTTTTAACATGTTTTTTACAGAGCACTTGTTGGCTTAACAGGATTGTTCCCATTCATGGATTTAATTGTTCCTTATGGCAAAACAACCAATTGCAACTAACTTTTAATGCCCCAAATTGTAATTTTCAAATTGTAACAATATTAGTATTCATTGGTTGGGATACTTTGAATTTGGATGTATTGAAATAAAAATATTACAATTTGCATTGATATAGCCCCCTTCATGCGGTGCACGGTATTGGAACACTTAAGATTTTTTACATATTAGGGCTTAAATATTAGATAACAAATGCTCTTCCCAAAATCGACACTTTCTCCTCAAAATATAGAATAGGAAGTTATGAAGATAAGAATGGTGTCACAATCAATCATCCAGGTGCAGAACATGGGAACCATGCTGCTTCATAATTAAAAAAACTACTGCCAATTTGAGGTAAGCTAAAAATAAAATTTAAAAAAGTTCAACTTTTGATAATTAGTTTAAATGGTTAATGTGTGCATCTGTTCAAGCTTAAATACATAAAATGTCACTATGAGTAGGTGCGTACTACTGTTCTATTTCATAAGCAGCATTGTTGATTCTGTCGGCCATTTTGCGGATATCCTCGCGTGCTTGATCTTCTGCTGTGTTTTGCACTGATTTCAACAAGATGTCCTCCAGGTATGAATCCACTGACGTCTGGTGTACTTTAATAACCTGTAACACATGGTAATTAAATAGACAGTCACCTGATTTATTCAATTGTGGTTTGTGGTGGGCGGAGATTATAATAATCCTTTTTGGATATTATTTTGATATGATAATAACAATAATGCTCATTATACAAGAGAAGCACGTTCTGAAGGTGAGAGTCTCTGTGCCACTCTTTCTTCTCTTCCTCCACTCTCCCATCCCTCCCCACACAGACTTTTGCCCTCACTTGCTGTGTATGATCCAGTTTCATCCATTTCACCGTTTGATTAACCAACAAGAAATTTGCACTAATACTGGGTGCAGATTCAATTCTGCAAATTTTATGAAAAATCACAAAATAATTTTGTCATTTCCACCATTGAAAGACAAACACACTAGTAGTGTACTAGTACTGAGAGTCAAGAGCTCGAACAGAACAAGCAGTCAGTGAAATGCTTAAATATACCTTGTAATCAGCTTACATGTCTCCAAATCATTTGGAACTTTCAAACAGTGCCATGGGATCTCGAACATCCACCTGAAGAGACAGGTTTAACTTCTCCTCCGAAGCCTGGCACCTCTGACAATGAAGCGCACTGCCAGCACTGAACTAGTGTCAGCCTAGACTATTAATAGTGAAGGCTGCGTAGTAAATGGACGAATTTGTCTCTGTTTTGTTACAAAAGGATCCTGGGATCTAGTGCAATAATATTACTTCATGTTGCAATGTCCAACCTGTTTAAAAATTTCATCTTCCTCCCTTCTGCGTCTCTCCTCCACTTGGCGAAGACCGCTCTCGTCCGCCTCTCTCATTCGGCGTTGCCGGTCGGCTAACATAACAAATGCATGGATGTGGCGTTCTGCCTGTATCCGCAGTAGTTCCTTACTCAGGAAATCAAACATTTCTGCCAGTACACCTCCTTCAAGGCAGGACAGATGGTCGTCAAATTCGGAAGCCTGTTGAGGAAAAAACATAAGTTTGTGCTCATTCACTTTGTAAAAAGTGTACAGTTAAAGGGTCAAGAACACAGTCAATTGCAAAATATCAGTGACTTTTCCCAAAAGCAATTTGAATACTCAGGACAAGCAAAAAAGAAAATATTATTGATCACCATTTCATGATTTAAATGTACCCCATTCAATACCATCCCTCCCATGTTTAATGCTCCATTACGACTAATTCTCCACTAAATGTTATAATTGTTCAGGACTTTACCTTGTGTTGCAGGTGGTCTCGTTCTCGTTGTAAGGCCAATATAGTTTGCATTTCTGCTTTTTTTAACAGCTCCTTATCCACCTGCAATGCATGCGTGACCCGAAGCTCTCGGATGAGTTCAATGCGCTTCTCTTTACCTTCAAACATCTGCAAAGTTAGACAACACCATCAGGTTTTTAGGACTCAATACTTACCTTTATCTGTTACCTAGTATTCCTCTCAATGATAACCCAACCCAATCAGTAACTCTGCCAAGCAGTGAGACTCCAGCTAGATGATTTCACAGTCACTACACAGAAATTACTGTAAAACATTTTGAGATATTTTGACATAATACTTACCATGTTCTGAACAGCCCTTCCTCTAATTAACTTCTGCAGGAAAATGATGGCCAATTCCCTTTCTTCCTCTCCCTGAAAGAGTGGAGAAAGAATAGTACCCATACCATTCAGTTAATGATGGTGTGGTCTTTCATGAACACATTTGAATTCCAATTGAAAGTTCTTACTACAGCATAGTGTTTGAATTGTGACATTAATTTAAGATAATAGAATCATATAAAATGTTGTTCTCCACAGTAACTAGCAAAAAAATGCCAGAGCAACAGAAATCTAACATATATTGAAAATGTATTTGATGCCCATTGCTTGAAGCCTCTAAACAGTAAACGGCATATTCAAACAAAAATGCTTCATTTCAATATTGATTAATCTTTCATCAGTAGCAGAGATGTTCAATTTGTTCATTTTGAAGGATATATTCAACTCAATGTTGATGACAACCATCATCAATGCTAGAGTAATACTATAGCACATACAAGAACCTTACTGTATATGACATCAGAAGATGAACTATGACATAAATAATAGACCGATGAATAATAATAATAATCTTGCATTTGATATAACAACAAAAACAACAACAAAATTACATTTGTATAGCGCCTTTCATGTTGGGAGGACGTCCCAAGGCGCTGGACAGATCGAGATATGGACCCTAGCTGGGGGTCGGGCTGGGGGAGGGTGGAGAGCAGAGGAGGAAAGCAGGGAGATCGAAAGCACAGTCGAAGAGGAGGGTCTTGAGGTGGGTCTTGAAGGTGGCAAGGGAGGGGGCAAGACGGAAGGACTGCGGGATGGAGTTCCAGAGGGTGGGGGCAGAGCGGTGGAAGGCTCGCCTGCCAATAATGGGGTGAGCAAGGTGGGAGATGTGCAGCAAGCCAGAGCCCGCTGAGCGGAGGGAGCGAACAGGATGGTAGGGGACTAGAAGGTTTCAGAGGTAGTGGGAGCAAGTTCATGGAGGGCTTTGAAGGTGAGGATCTTGAACTGTATCCTCTGTGTGATGGGAAGCCAGTGGAGTTGAAGGATGGGGATGATAGGGTCGCGGAGCCTGGTGCGGGAGAGGACATGGGCTGCAGAGTTCTGGATGATCTGCAGCCTGTGGAAGGAGGAGTTGGGGAGGCCGACAAGCAATGAGTTTGCATAGTCGAGCCTCGATGTAATGAAAGCATGTATGAGGTGTTCGGCGGCCTGCGGTGTGAGATAGTGTTGGAGCTGGACGACGTTGCTGAGGTGGAGCAAGGTAGAGCGGGTCATGGCGCAGATGTCGGGTAGAAAAGATAGTTGAAGGTCAAACAAGACCCCAAGTTTCTGGACTGGCTTAGCAAGGTGGGGTGTGCAACCATGGATGGTGATGTTGTCAGTGCCTGAGGTGAAGAGGCGCTAACGGGAGCCAATCAGGAGAGCCTCGGTCTTGTTGACGTTCAACTAAAGAAAGTTAGCTCTCATCCAGGACTTGATGTCCCACAGAAATTCTGTCAGCACAGCAGTGGTCCTGGAGTCAAGGGTGGAGACAGAGCGGTAGAGTTGGGTATCTTCCTCATACATATGGAAGTTGACCCCATGTCTGTGGATGATGTCACCAAGAGGGAGCATATAGATATTCAAGATGAGGGGACCAAGGACAGAGCCCTGAGGAACGCCACACGAGACGGTTCGGGGGCTAGCGGAGACGCCGTTTGAGGAAATGAAGTGCAGGCTGTGTGAGAGGTCGATCTGAATTAGTCAAGGACAGCACCGTGAGGTTGAGGTGAGAGGAGAGGCGGTGGATGAGGATAGAGTGGTTGTCTGTGTCGAAAGCAGCAGAGAGGTCAAGGAGGACGAGGAGGCAGAGGGAGCCCTGGTCGCAGGTGGACAGAATGTCATTTTTATCACTTTGACCAGGGCTGTTTCTGTACTGTGGGCGGCACAGAAACCCAATTGGAGGGGTTCGAGAAGGGAGTGGCGGGAGAGGAAGGAGCAAAGCTGAGAAGCAACATCTCATTCCAGCACCTTGGAGAGGAAGGGGAGGTTGGAGATGGGGCGGTAGTTTGGGAGTAGAGAAGGGACCAGGGAGGATTTTTTAAGGATAGGAGTGACGACAGCGTTTTTTAATGGGGTGAGAACAGGGAGAGGTTTACAATATCAGTGAGTAGAGGGGCAAGGAGGTGGAGCTGGGAGTTAAGAAGAGGGGTAGGGATGGAGTCGAGGGAGCAGATGGTAGGTTTCATACAGAGTTTTATATAGCATCTTACCAAGTCTTTGAGACGTCTCAAAGCGCTTCACAGAAATATACTATAATGTGAATTGACTGTATATTTTGTGGACAAAACGTGGCAGCCAATTGTACACAGCAGTGTCCCACAATCAGTCATGGATTGAGAGACCAATTTTTTTTTGAAGAAATTATTACCCCCAGAAAAGCGATCCACCAATCGACTAACAAACAGGTTCCTACTAACAACTAGGTAAACAGAGGCGTATGGAGTAAGGAAACTTTGTTCAACATTTCACCCTGCCCGGGAATCGAACCCAGGTCTCTCACTTGTGAGGTGAGTGCTCTAGCCAATGAGCTACAGGACTCCAAAAGATGAAGCCTCAAGAGGACATATGTCTGGTTAGTCATCAAAGCTTCTAAGACTGTGTCCATCGTTCAAGGAACATTAGAGATTAGCTGTAGTTAAGGATAAAACTGAAATAAGATAGAGTTAGTAAAGGGTCTATGACAATTTATGTTCTTCTTTTACATCTTCGGCCCATTCCAAGAGTATATAAAAAGATGCAATTTGAAAAATATTTGATGCAAGAAAATACTTTTTAGAAAATCTACATTCTGTACTTGCCTCAGGTGGTTTCTCTACAATAGGTGTTGGAGGGCGCAGAATAGGTTTTTCAATCTTGAACATGTAACGAAGTGGCTTCTTTGACTCCTTTCCTTTGAATCTTGCTTCTACCAGAGTCTGAATTTTACAAATACAAATTGTGTAAAAGTGTAAACTTGTTATTATTAATAATCTTTATTATATTACTTAAGAATGGTGTTGTGAACAAAACAACACCACAATTTTTCACGTTCCTCTAAATTTATAAATATTTAATTCACAAATAAGACAAAGGAAAAATGTTTCCATCGCTTGCTCTCTCAAAACGTAACCAAAACACATCCAATCAAATCATCATGTATTTCACTGACATACCATGTGAAGTTTAGCCAATTCCATCTCATGTCGATAAGCACGCTTGATAAATCCTTCCTTTGATATTTTTTGGGGTTTCTCCACTCGTATGCGTGGCTGGGTTACAAATTCTGGCAGAAAGGCCTCCATTTCTAGGAGTCCTAAAATAAAAGTAAAATGAGTATAATAGAGAATGAAAGAGGATGAGGTGATATCAATTGTCAAATGGGAGCTCCCTCCCCCCACTGTCCCACTGTCTCTAACTGTAAAGACATAAATAACACTTTAGGGGAGAAACAAGTGCTAAACAGAACCAAGTCGGAAGTGACTTCTAACTTTCAGGAGTTTAAAGCGAATCACTTGGCTATCAGGTGTGATGGATGTGGTCATCTATCAAATACACACACATCTAGAAAGGAGGGAGGAATGTCCTTTGCAGGGCACAAGAAAGGGTATCAGCTATGCTTCCTGTGCGCTGTAAGTAGGCAGGAATTAATCTCAACGGTGGTCATTTTTCAGGAAATGTTGTCAGCTGTGTTTACTGTGTCTATGGAGTAACAGTCCAATCTCAGAAATTCAAACCAATATTGCTTAGATGTTGCTTAGGAAATCTGGTGCTAGTCATTTTCAGTGACTCTGGCTGCTTTGCTCAGATATCAAGACGAGCAGCTGGCAATAGAAAGCAAAGCCGATCTTAAAAACATACAGAGCATTGGTAAATATTTTTACTCTCACCTTCATATGTATTTAGAAATCGATTTTTCACAACAAAGCGCTCTGAATCACGATCTGGAAACAGGCCTATTCGAGCAATTGGTGCGTACACCTGGGAGCCATGGTTTGAATAGTTGTCTATGAGGTTGGGACGCTCCAGCTTCCCTTCCACATTTTTCTTCTTGGCGGTCAGCTTCCTTATTTCTAGAACAACAAACATTAAGACTGCAGTAACTACTAATGAGAACCTTTATTCTATTCTTTTTTTAAAAAAATACAACTTTAACATGCAGTTTTAATGCAAATACTTACTTGGGGTCAATGAAACATCTCAACAATTCTCTTGTTAAGCCAAACATTTCAGTTGAGTTGTGCTTTGGTAAAAAAAAACCTTGAGTGGCCAAAAGTTTCACGAAAGTATGTGAAACTTTTGGCAACTCAAAGGTTTGCCCCTCCCCACTTAAGCAGCATTATATGCAAAAAATATATTATTCACAAAAAAAAATCTAGACTTATCTCTCTGACTGCACCTTCATTCATTTTCCCTGCTCCTTTTTCAAATGCACCCACTCGTCTGGCTCGAGTGCCCATTCAGCTGTGCAAAATATTTTGATACATCCTCCCAACATGAACAATAACAACAAGATTACACTTGAATAACGCCTTTCACGTCGGGAGGACTTCCCAAGCTGCTGGATAGAGTATAGCATTTCAGACCCGAACTGGGGGTGGGGGGGGGTGGAAGGGGAGGGGAGGGGAAGGGCGGTGGCCGATGGCATGGTCGAAGAGGAGGGTCTTGAGGCGGGACTTGAAGGAGGCTAAGGAGGGGGTGAGGCGGAGTGGCTGGGGGATGGAATTCCAGAGGTTGGGGGCAGAGTGGCTGAAGGCTCCCCTGCCAATGGTGGGGCGGGTGGGTCGGGGGACAAGGAGCAGGCCAGAGCGGTTGAGCGGAGGGAACGGGCGGGTTCGTAGGGGGTTAGGAGGTCGCAGAGGTAGGGTGGTTGGATGGGGATGTGAGTGAGGGAGGAAAGGTTGGCTCCCGTGAGTGAGGACCGGTGGACCTTGTGGCGAGAGTGGGGGAAGGGGCAGTCAGGATGGGTGCTGCAGGACAGTCGACGGCGTCTACAATGGTGGGCATGACGAAGAATGTGAAGGGAGGAGCAGAGGGAGGCCGTGGGGGAGTCGATGAGGGATAGGAGTCAGAGGGAGTGGAGGGTTGAGCGGGAGTAGTGGAGGGAAGGGGACTGGGTCAGGAACATCTTGGGGAAACAGCTCGGGTCAATTGTGGCAGCCAATGTGCGCATTGTCAGTCACCAGACATCCAGAGGTTATGACAAATCATCTTGGAGCGGACAGGAGTGTTCAGCGAGCCATGGTTAGCCCACTGGGCTGGGATGGTGAGGTTCAGTGAGGAGATGGGGGCAGTGATGTCTTCCCGGTGAGCCCTGGCCTCGAGAATCAAATGAGGCGGGCGGGATGACGTCACGTGGCAGCCGGTGAAAGGCACTATATACATGTAAATTGTATGCATTATATTGTAATGTATAATAATCCTTGCATTTGATATAGCGCTTTTCACGTCTTCCGAGACGTCTCAAAGCACTTCACAGAATATACTGTAAAGTGAATTGACTGTGTATTTGTGGGTGAAACGCAGTAAACAATTGTGCACAACAGTGTCCCACAAACAGCTGTGGATTGAAGTGACCAATTTATTCTTTTTTTTGAGGGATTATCATCAGGCATGTGGAGTAAGGAAACTTGCCCAAGATTTCACCCTGCCAGGAATCAAAATTATTATTATTATTATTTATTTTATATTGTAATGTATTACCTCGCATGTGCTCATGCCTTATCTGCTTTATGGCCATTTTCTTCTTTTGCTGATATTTTGACCAATATGCATCAAGCTGTTTCACATTTATCTCCTGTTGCTTTGCTTCACGTTGCTTTAACAGCTTCTTCAAAACGTCCATCCGTGCCTCCTGAAGTCTGAAGAAAAAACACAAATTATGAAAATATGGCATTCTGTTTTGTTCATAATGCAAAGGTAGCTGATGTAACCTAGTCAAATTGCTGCAGTATATTTGGAAGAGAGAACTGGAAAAACTAATGCCAACCATACTGTTCCCTCCAGCAGTAATGGAAGTGTTGTCAGCGTGGCTTGCAGGATTAACAGGAGTCAAACTGAAGGATCTTTACTGCACTATATCTATATCCTGCCAACATTCCAAGGCAATTTATCCACATTGAGCAAGTATGTTATATTTGAATATAACATATGGTTCCAATGCTTACTTTGGAGTCCTGTAGCTCAGTGGTTAGAGCACTCGCCTCGCAAGCAAGAGGACCTGGGTTCGATTCGTGAGTAGGGAGAAACGTTGGGCAAGATTCCTTACTCCTCAAGGTTCTGTTTACCTAGCAATAAGTATGAACCCAGTTGTTAGTCGATTGGCGGATCGCTTTTCTGGGGTTAATAATTCCTTCAAAATAAATAATAATAATTTGGTCACTCAATCCACGACTGTTTGGAGGACACTGCTTTGCGCAATTGGCTGTCACATTCCGCCCATAAAATATACAATCAATTCACTTTACAGTATATTCTGTGAAGCACTTTGAGACATCTCTTGACTATGCAAACTCCCTGCTTTTCGTCCTCGCCAACTCCTCCCTCTGTAGGCTGCAGATCATCCAGAACTCTGCAACCTGTGTCATCTCCCACACCAGGCTCCGTGACCCTATCACCCCCACCCTTTGCCCAACTCCACTGATTTCCCATCACACAGAGGATAAAGTTCAAGATCCTGGTCCTCACCTTCAAAGTCCTCCATGGTCTTGCTCCCCCCTACCTCTGCGACCTCTTAATCCCCTACCATTCTGCTCACTCCCTCCGCTCAGCGGGCTCCAGCCTGTTTCACGTATCCTGCCTTGCTCGCCCCATTATTGATGGGTGGGCCTTCTGCCACTCTGCCCCCACCCTCTGGAACTCCAGCCCGGAGTCCCTCCGCCTCGCCTGCTCCCTTGCCTCCATCAAGACCCATCTCAAGACCCTTCTCTTCGACCGTGCTTTCGATCTCCCTGCTTCCCCACTGCCGTACATCCTCCCCGATCCCCAGTTTGGATCTGAAACTCTGTCTGTCCAGCGCCTTGGGAAGTCCTCCTGACGTGAAAGGCGCTCTACAAATGTAATTTTGTTGTTGTCTCGAAGACGTGATAAGGCGCTATCTCAAATGCAAATGCAAGGATTATTACTTTTCAATTTCTTTCTCACGGAATGCCCACTCATTTCTTTCCATATCTTCCATCATTTTCTTCCTCTTATCGTGCAGGCAAACTTCGCTCAATGGAGGTAGAGTAGATTCCCATGCACGCTTTGCCCGGGCACGTTCAATCATCTCAACTTCTGCTAAACCTGCAGGTAGACCTTGTCCTGTCATCAAATGAGAAAATAATTGAAAACGTTGGGGAGAAAATTTGCTCTATCAACGTAGTACTTTAGAACATCCAGAAACAGGGAAATTCAAATCAGCATTTAATTTAAACCCCTTTTTGTAACAAAATAAAATCTGACACTGCAGTCTGGAGTAGTCCTGCAATAATTATGCTCAGATCAGTAATCTGGTACCCCATTTTAACCTGCCACATATTTCAGCAATTTTGTCCGGTCCTGACTTACCCCATGTCAGCATGGCAAGAGTAAGGAGTTCAGGAGCAGACCCAGGCCGTACCACATATTCTGGGGTATATGGATCTGTTTGGGTTTCATTCTCCCGGTAATCTGTTTGGACACCTACTGTTCGCGATTCAAAATCGTTAAGTTCTTGAAGGTGGTCTGGTAGTTCATTACGGCCTCTGAATAATACATGGAAGGGAAGGAGGAAGGTTTAGGGTAAAATAAGAGATGTTATACAAAATGTAATTATTTGCAGACCATTACCACGGGGTTTCAAATTGCAGAAGATGGTGATGGGTGGGGGTCTTAAGGAACACTGTCATTTTTTTTCACCGTTTCACTTTAAGTCAGCCTTTAAACTGATCGTGTCACAAACACCCTGGAACTCAAAACCATGACCGTCCTATTTCAGAGGAAAGCAGACATAATTCTGTTACCTTGTCCTTCAAGTTCACAGCTGTATCGATGATTTATGAGCGCAGCACTATTTCACTGAAACAGTGAAGATTTGTAGAACTTGTCAAAAAATTAAGGTGACTATCGTCACATGATGATGATACTCTATGAGGAAGAAGGTCAAAAACAACCAAATAATTGTCTTTTTCTTGAGTAAATCTATTTCAAATGGGTTGCTCATTCTCAAGCTGCATCCTAAAGCCAGCAACTTAGCCTGTTTCCTCTCCCAAATGACCTTGCCATTTGAAAGGGTATATTCAGTTGTGAAAAGACTTTCAATTACATTACTATAAATCGCACCAAGAAAGGGTTGTCATTTAGGTAGCTTAAATTGATTTTATTTGTGGTTTTAAATGAGTTTAATAGGTTTAAATGGTTGTTCACATAAATTATTGTTTCATTAGTCAATTAATAAAATGACCACATTAAGCAAACAGTAAGATTCTTCACAACCACCCCAAAAACTGTATTCTAAACAAACTATTCGACTATTACAAAAAGGTAAGATGACCACTGACCTGGACATCTCCAGAATTACTTCTGTGGGTAGATGTTGCACGAAGGGAATAATAGGTCTAGAAAGCAAATAGAAAATTAAACTGCTAAAAATTGGAAAAATGCAACTGTACATCTATGAAAAAAAACTTTAAAAACACACCACCTTTTTATTTTTCCTTTTTCTTCATCCCAAATTAAATACCCAACTTTGCTTTCAGACACCCTTGCCATAATCACTTCGGAACTATCTTACAAGCCCTCCCTCAACCCTGTATTTTGGCAAAGAATACCCAGCAAAATCTAAATGAGGGAAAACTGCAGACCCACAAGGATCCAAGGGTCGATCCGAGGTGCTAAACTCAAATAGACGCAGTCTCCTCTAAACACAAAGGAAATAAAAAATGGTATTGTGATAATATCTAGGGGTTATAAAATAAAACGTTTAGTTTTTTTTAATCTATTTTGCTATTATAATTATGTTTAAACCCAGACCATAAGTTTTTTGAAAACCTGCGCCTAACACTCTCCAGAATTAGGTAAGCAGGGTGTGTCCCTCCAAGGAGGTCCAATCCAAACACAGAAAAATATCCATGGTAAGTGGCAAACACATGTGGAATTTTGCTTGGATACCCTTAAGCATGGCGGCAGGTTTCCTCATATGTCAAACATTCAGCTGAGCAAGGATAAATGTCCATTTGATTAAATACTACAGGTTGGCCAGCAACTGTGGAACTATACCATAGTGAGTCTCAGAATCATGAACAGGACAGAAAGAAATAGAGAGAAAAATAAATTACAAGAATTAAAATATGCATTTAATTTAAATCGCTTTTGGTAACAAAATAAAATCAATAAGTCATAGCGTTATCTTACCGTGTGAAATACTTGTACCGGTTCCGACCATTCACTTCTGGATCCTCCCTTATTTTTTGTGGAACTTCAACGGAAGAGTTATGTCTGAACGGAAGACATCAAAAAGTTAACGATCACTATCACGTGTCACTATTTTATTCTAGCAAAATTCCCCAATGAAATCAAGATTAGGTATCATTTAAAAAGAAGGAAAACAATTTTAAAAGCAAATAATTTTTCATTATGAACATTTGTACTGGATTATTTTTAATGGCAAGATTTTTTTAAAAAAATAGGTTTATTTCAGTTCATTAGATTTACAAGTAGTATAGTACTGCATTAGATGTTTACAAAAATAAAGCAAAATTACGTTGTCATTTGTCTAAGAGCTTTTTTGTTCCGCTCTCCATATCCTTTCCATTGCCGATCAATGCATCTTGGAACAGGGTCATTCTGATACAGTTGCAGGGAATGCTTTGGGTAACCCTGCAAGGTACTGAACATCGCTTTATAATCAGGTACTTTTTTCTGTATGGTGGAAAGAAACATGCAAAAGTTAATGTCAGCTTGTTCTGTTCTAGGCAACTATGAAAACAACTCATGAAAGTATTCTCACTGTTAAACTTTCTAAATGTGCTACTGTGTTATTCGGTATTCTTTCATGACTTTAACTGGATCAATCATTTAGAAGCTATTACATTTTTTTATGATGGCTTTTTTTCCAACAAAAGTAACAATCATGTCAAAATATATATATTTAAGAAGTATTTTAAATACCACTATTTTGCTGCCAGGTGACAATGAAAGATGCTGCAAGATCATAGCATAATAAAAAAGGATACGTGATACAAATGGTGTTTCTCATTTTGCAAACTTCAATGCAGGTCAACAAGAAGTTAAGAAAAACTGTTAATACTATCAGACCCTCATCCCAGGACAGTAATAATGCTTTCAGACTGATCGATATTGACTTCCTTTGTGTTTGAATACTCACAAACTTGTCAGGAGATGTTTGTGCCATGAAGTCAATCCTAGAATGGTCCTTCTCACTACAAACTGAATACAGCGGGTCTACAGAAGAACAAGTGAAGTTAGTTTTCTTATTCCATAGATCAATCTTTTTTACTTGATTGGAATTACGGACAATATAAGAATAAGAATCAGCAACAACTACCAGAACAGTTACCCAAATGAATTCTTCAATTTAACATTACTTTTCGTTTAGCAATATTCTTAACTGTATTCTCCTGTGCGGGTGAGACGGAGATGTCACGAGATGTTAAACTGAGGTCCCGTCTGCCTGCTCGGGTGGTCGCTATAGATCACCGTGGCACTGCGTGAAAACAGAAGGGAGTTTCTTCCGAAATCATGGCCGACAAGTACCCCAGAAAAAAAACTCGTGACTCGCTCCATGGCTGTTTGCGGGACACTGCCCCGCGCAAACCGGCTGCTGCGTCTCGCCCGCAAAAAAACAGCACCTTTTAGCCGTGAGGACGCGAGCCCTCTGTGACGGTAGCCTCGGGTCGCCTTCCCGACCTGAAAGGCGTTATGTACCAATGTGGTAAATCCTCGCCTTTGATGCGGCGCCTGATCCCGGCTTCCAGGCGTCTCAAAAGCGCGTCGTTCCGTGGGCGGAACCCGGCAGCCGATCGCGCACAGCCGGCGGCCTCCCCTCCCACAAACAGCTGCCGATTGAAGTGACCAAATTATTATTATTATTATTAAAGTAGTTGTTGTAGCTGCGCGTGAGGGTTGAGGGGGGGGTGTTGTGTGATAGAAATGCGAGTTGCTATTGTTCCGACGAGCTCCTAACTAACCCCTACCAGCCCGCCCGCTCCCTCCGCTCAGCCGGCTCCATCCCCCCGCCCGCCCGCCCGCCCGCCCGCCCGCCCCGCCGTTGGCGGGAGAGCCTTCAGCCACTCCGCCCCCCCCCCCACAACCTCCGTAACTCCGTCCCCCAATCCCTCCGCCTCGCCTCCTCCTTCACGTCCCGCCTCAAGGCCCCTCCTCTTGGACCACGCCATCGGCCCCCTCCCCCCCCCCCCCCCCCCTCCCTGACCCCCGCAACCCCATCTCGGGTCCGAAATGCTGTACACTGCGCAGCGCCTTTGGGACGTCCTCCCGACGTGAAAGGCGCTACACAAGTGTAATGTTTGTTGTTGTTGTTGGTTGTTGTTGGTTGTTGTTGTTGTTGACGACGCTCTCTTATCAGATAACAAGGGATTGTCATCATCATCATCATCATCATCATTATCATCATCATCATCGTCGTCGTCATTATTAATAATAAATAATAATTTAGCGGGTGACATTTCTGCCTCTTTTACCGTAAAGGTAGTCATAAGTCCTCTCGGGCTTGAACCTCTGGCCCTGTCTGCGGGAGGTCTCTGTGACCGTGAAGCTCATGGTGGTGGTCCCTGGGGCCGCGACTCCCTCCTCTCCCTCTCCCTCCCTCCTCTCCCACTCCCTCCCTCCCTCCTCACCCTCTCCCTCCCTCCCTCCCGGCCACCAGTCCGCGGCCTCCGGCCCCCTCTCTCTCCCTCCTCTCCCACCACCTCGGTGGCGGTGGACTTTTTGTTGGCGTCCGCCGTCACCATAGCAACCCCGTCAGGTGCCGACCTCCCGCGGGCAGCGCCACCTCGAGGTTGTTGGGTGAAAGCGCAGCCTCTCTTTTTCCCTCACTCCCCCCCCCCTCTGGTTCCTTTGCCCAACTCTCTCCTCCTCCACCACCACCACCACTACCTCCTCCTCCTCCTCCTCCTAATGTGGAGGAACTCCATCCCCCAGTGCCTTCGCCGCTTCCTCCCTCTCCTCCTTCAAGGCCGGTCTCAAAACCTTTCTCTTTGACCGAGCCTTCAGCTCCCCTCTCGACTCTCTACCCCCTCCTCGCTCCTTCCTTTCCCTCCCCTCACCCTGACCATTTCCCCCCTCCTCGCTCCCTCCCCTCCCCTCACCCTGACCATTTCCCCCTCCTCGCTCCCTCCCTCCCTCCCCTCACCCTGACCATTTCCCCCCCTCCTCGCTCCCTCCCCTCCCCTCACCCGACCATTTCCCCCTCCTCGCTCCCTCCCCTCACCCTGACCATTTCCCCCTCCTCGCTCCCTCCCCTCCCTCGCCTGACCATTTCCCCCCTCCTCCTCGCTCCTCCCCTCCCCCGGACCATTTCCCCCTCCTCGCTCCTCCCTCCTCTCACCCTGACCATTTCCCCCTCCTCGCTCCCTCCCTCCCCCTCCCCTGACCATTTCCCCCCTCCTCGCTCCCTCCCCTCCCCTCGCCCTGACCATTTCCCCCCTCCTCGCTCCCTCCCCTCCCCTCCCCTGACCATTTCCCCCCTCCTCCTCCTTCCTCCCCTCCCCTGGACCATTTCCCCCCTCCTCGCTCCCTCCCCTCCCCTCACCCTGACCATTTCCCCCCTCCTCGCTCCCTCCCCTCCCCTCACCCTGACCATTTCCCCCCTCCTCGCTCCCTCCCTTCCCTCCCCTCACCCTGACCATTTCCCCCTCCTCGCTCCCTCCCCTTCCCTCCCCTCACCCTGACCATTTCCCCCTCCTCGCTCCCTCCCCTCCCCTCCCCCTGACCATTTCCCCCCTCCTCGCTCCCTCCCTTCCCTCTGACCATTTCCCCCCTCCTCGCTCCCTCCCCTCCCTCTGACCATTTCCCCCCTCCTCGCTCCCTCCCTCCCTCCCCTCACCCTGACCATTTCCCCCCTCCTCGCTCCCTCCCCTCCCCTCACCCGACCATTTCCCCCCCTCCTCGCTCCCTCCCTCCCCTCACCCTGACCATTTCCCCCTCCTCGCTCCTCCCCTCCCCTCCCTGACCATTTCCCCCCTCCTCGCTCCCTCCCTCCCCTCACCCTGACCATTTCCCCCCTCCTCCTCCTCCCTCCCCTCCTCCTGACCATTTCCCCCTCCTCGCTCCCTCCCTCCCCTCCCCTCACCCTGACCATTTCCCCCTCCTCGCTCCCTCCCCTCCCCTCACCCTGACCATTTCCCCCCCTCCTCGCTCCCTCCCTCCTCCTGACCATTTCCCCCTCCTCGCTCCCTCCCCTCCCTCACCCTGACCATTCCCCCCTCCTCCCCTCCCCCCTCCCCTGACCATTCCCCCCCTCCTCGCTCCCTCCCCTCCTCCTGACCATTTCCCCCCTCCTCCTCGCTCCCTCCCTCCCCTCACCCGACCATTCCCCCTCCTCGCTCCCTCCCCTCCCTCCCCTCACCCTGACCATTTCCCCCCTCCCTCCTCCCTCCCCTCCCCTGACCATTTCCCCCCTCCTCGCTCCCTCCCCTCCCCTCACCCTGACCATTTCCCCCCTCCTCCTCGCTCCCTCCCCTCCTCCTGACCATTTCCCCCCTCCTCGCTCCCTCCCCTCCCTCACCCGACCATTTCCCCCTCCTCGCTCCCTCCCCCCCCTCACCCTGACCATTTCCCCCCTCCTCGCTCCCTCCCCTCCTCCTGACCATTTCCCCCCTCCTCCTCGCTCCCTCCCCTCCCCTCACCCGGACCATTTCCCCCCTCCTCGCTCCCTCCCCTCCCTCCCTCACCCTGACCATTTCCCCCTGCTCGGGTCATGACCCAACTGTGCAGCGCCTTAGGACGTCCTCCTGACGTGAAAGGCGCTTTATAAATGGAATCTTGTTGTTGTTGTTGTTGTTGTTGTGGCACAGGCACCATGATGTTTGATGCGGTGGACAGAAGTTGTGGGTGTTCTGGAGAGATGTGATCAGATGGGCCAAAAGAGCCTTCTTTATCCAAACCAATCTTGTGATCCTGTGAGAAGCTGAAAGACATTATTCTCACCTTATATTGATTGCTGGGGAGGTAACATTCATAGTAGTGTCCTGTTCAATTTTGGATAACTTCCAAAAGGATATTGATGCAAAGTGAAGTGTTCAGAGAAGAGGAACAACATGATTTCAGAATTTAGAGATGAAGTTTCTTGGAATAAAGAGAATTGAGGGAGACTTGATTCAGATCTCGAAAGTGCTGAGGCGCTTAGTTGATTGCATTTGATATATATTATCACATCTCGTTGAGGATTCACTGTGGAATTACTGTATTTTGTGGGCGAATCATGGCAACCAACTTGCACTATCCCACAAACAGCCACATGTACAATATAAAGAGTTATTTGATTTGGATTATGAGGGCGAAACATGGGTTTAAAATTAACAAACGAGATTGCAGATTAGAAAAAAAATTCTAATACGTTTTTAAACTAAAAATCCATCTCTAAAATATATCTGATTTATATAATCTTTCTTTCTTACTCCAACTTTGTGACCAGTTGCGAATCTCTGTATCAGAATACAATGTATAATCAGTATCAATCATTTTAATATAAGACAAAGTTTTTGAATGCAGATGTTCAGTTTTATTGCAATAGGTAGTTTTAAATCAACTTCATACAAATAAATAATATCAGTAGGATTAAAAAATATACATAGATTATTTTTTCATTTTCATTTTCATTTTTTCCCCAGTTCGATCATGAGGTGTTTTTTTCATTACTATTCATAAGATGTGTGGCTTCTGAAAATGAAACAGAGTAAGTAGATGGAAAAAATCCGAATTACCAGCATGATTTTGCAAAATATTTTTGAATGACTAATGAAACTATGAATATGCAGTTTTAAAAGAAATTGTGATATTTTCTGCTGCTCAATGTAAATGAAGCTGTGGAGTGTCCTAGCATTGTTAGCATAGAGTGCTTAGCGCCTTTCAACTCAAGTGAGAAGATCCGGTTTTGATTCCTGGGTGGAGCAAAACGTTAGGCAAGTTTCCTTACTCTAAACGCCTCTGTTTACCTAGCAGTAAGTAGGAAGCTGATTGTGAGTTGATTGGCGGATTGATTTCCAGGGATAATAATCCTTTTTTAAAAAATTTGGTCACTCAATCCACGAGTGTTTGTGAGACACTTCTGTGTGCAATTGGCTCTTCGTTTTGTGCACAGAATACATAGTCAATCCAATTTACAGTATATCTTGTGAAGCGCTTTGAGAGGTCTAAACGACGTGATAAGGCACTATACCAAATGCAAGGATTATTATTATTACTTACTTTGCAGCAACTGTTGCCTTTTGGCTGCTATTTTTAATATCTCCTCTCTGGCAGCAGGAAATAACTTCAACACGTTATTAAATTTGTTCGATGACAATGAATATAGTTTGCAGAGAGTTTGTGCTCGAACTGTTGCTGTCCGGAAACTTTTAATGAGAAGACAAATCTCTGAAAAACAATAAATAAACATGATATTCACCAACTGTTTTTTTTTATATCAGTATAATTCATAGAGTGTAAGTTTCAGTGGCGTTTCCTAGAGCTGTGGATTTATCACTAACAGAAATCTATGATGTTGAAATTTAACACAGCTATTTAATATTACCCACATCAAATCAGTATTTAAAATACAGATTTATATTGCTCAAATCCATAATATGGACAAAAATTAAAGTCAAATGAAGCACCTCTTATGTCACAACAAAGAAGTCAAATAGCCAAATGCCCAAACAAACAAAAATGTAAGTTGTTGTTGTTGATGTATAATCAGTGTCTTCACAAACCTCCAAAGTAAGCTCCATCCGAAAGGACTTTTTGGTAAAATTGTGTCTCCACTAAAACCATGCCAGATTCAATGAAGAACATCCTGTCAGCTGCGGCTCCCTCTCTTATAATCACATCTTCTTCCTGAAAGACTTCATAATGTAGATTTGTGATAACAGCCTGTAAAAAATTTGGATCTGCATTTTGGAACATTGGCACGTTATTGAGTAGACTTCTGCACAGGTAGCTTAGAACATCCTGTAACAAAACGAACAAGGCAAGAAATCATCAAATCCACCATCTTTGAAAAATGGTATTCGGAGAATTAAAGTAACTGAGAACCTGACTCCTAAGAAAAAGTTGTGAATGACACACAAGATTGATAGGGAGAATCCTAATTTTCTCATCCCATGCTTTCGTACTAACCACTGGACACTGTTTGAGGGGTATTTAGAGCAGGAACCAAAGTGATTCAAAATGGGCAGAATACCGAAAGTATAATTTATTAGTTGCAACTCCCAGATCATTGTAAATCTAGCGTGAAAACAAAACATAGATGCACTATTGAATTCATGTTCAAGATACTATAGTAAAGAGTTTTCAACTACTGTATATAAAATGTATTGATATTTATGTTAAAAGGTTACATTTTATTTGTGGGCAAACACGACAGCTAATTCTGCCCAGTAGAATATAGTCAAATAACTTTACAGTATATTCTGTGAAGCGCTTTGAGTCATCTCGAAGACTTGATAAAGCGCTATATCAAATGTGAGAATTATTATTATTATTTTGTTTGAAATACTGTAGTTTTATGGAAATTATAGCTTTTCGATTCTTCAGCTCTTTATACATAATTTGTCAAAGATCCATACCTCTCTTAAATATTCTGATAAATCAGAAATAATTTGTTCCTGATCAAACCATTTCCCATGAAAACGTTCTCTGTAGTATGAGAAAATCTTCCTTTCCAATTGCCAAGGGATCTTCCGATATGATACATAATCTTCCACGTGATTGAGCTAAAATGTGAAAAGATTTGAAATGCTGTTTCAAGTTGTAAACTGGTATTCAAACATACACTTGTCCCAAAGGGCCCAGAATCAACATCCAACATTCACTAATGTTTTATTCTTGAATAGTATTTGGTATATGGCCATACAGTTCAACTTTAACAAACATTCTCGGAACACTACGAGGGTGAGGCCGAATCATAGAATCAAATAGACCTGTGCCAGCTCTTTGAAAAGCTATCTAATGAGTCCCATTACTTTGCACTTATCACGTCTTCGAGACATCTCAAAGCACTTCATATGTGGGTGAAATGTGACAGCCAATTGCACACACAGTGTCCCACAAACAGTGGTGGATTGAGTGACCAAATTATTATTATTTTTTTTGAGGGATTAATATTACCCCCAGAAAAACGATACGCCTATCAACTAACAACTGGGTTCCTACTTACTGCTAGATAAACAGAGGCGTGTGGAGTAAGAAAAATTGCCCAACATCTCACTCTGCCCCCTTTGGTCTTACAAATATGGGGGTGAAACTCTGTCCGTGTCCAGAGCATTTTAGAAAATTCAGAATTTGATAAATTCAGTCTTAACTTTTAAGTCAATTTACTGTAGTTCTTAAACTTACAGAAAAACGGCTTAAAAATTGAGGCTGAGTTTAAGATGTGGCCAAATTCTCGACCCTCTGAAATTCTGTGTTAATACAGTAATTGTAGACCCAGATGGAATTTCTCCCGAAAGGGTTCTTTGACAGTTAACTAATAGTCGCATTGGTCATCCCAAAAGGTTTGAAACTACCACGAGAGTGCAAGCAATTCTCACCTGGTCTGTAAAGTGGACTCAGTAAAAATTACCCGCTCCTAACAAAACCCTTCCAAATGGTGTCAGGAGGAATCAGCATATTTTTATGAAAACCCTGTGCTGAAGGACTAAGTTTAATGAGCAGATAGTTTGACGGACACATGTTTTGCCACCCACACATAAATACCTTCCATCACTTTTTCACATTATTCAACACAAACCTTCGCTTTGTACCTTCGTCCGGGGGCATCTGCATTTAATACCATGGCTGCCACGTTTGCCACCATTATTGTATATAGCAGTGTTCCAGAAATCATACTGATTACTATGATCCCAATCTCTGATAAGTCTGTAAGAGTCCAAAATTGCTTCATGAAAAATACTTAATTGCCAGAGTTACAATTTGCTTTCAGGAAAAACAATTACCTTTTGCTTCATCTAATTTGAATTTGGTAATCTCTCAGAAACTGATATTACTAAATGCTACGACTAGGTTGATACTCAAATACAGTGCTGGGGGAGAGTGTTGCATTGCTGGAGGTGCCATCCTTTGATGATAGGTGAAACTACAAAGATTCAAAAAGAAAAGTAAGTTTCTCCTGCTGTCTCGGCCAAAACTCCACCAAATGTTAAATTCGTCATTCACTTCCTGCCTAATTGTGGCCCATACCTGTCTGCATTTGATATACAGTAGTGCCTTATCACATCATCAAAACATCTCAAAGCTCTTTTGAACTGTAGAGTGCAATGACTGTATTTTGTAGATAATAATAATAATCCTTGCTGCTTTTCACAGTGGGAGGGAGTGCCAAAGTGCTTCAAAGACACTCTGAAGTGGAGTGACTGTGTCTTTGTGGGCAAATGCGGCAGCCAATTTGCGCAGAGCAATGTCCCTTGAAGTCAATAGCCATGAAGTGAATTATTTGAAGGACTGTTGGCTGGGATACCGAGAGAAACTCTCTTTTCAAATAGTGTCATGGGATCTTTAACATCCATCTGAGCAGTTAGATGGGTCTTTGATTTAACGTCTCATCCAAAGGTTAGCACCTCTGACAATACATCATACCCCTAGCACTGCATTGTCATCTTAGATTATGTAAGTGTGTGTAAAAAAATAAGATTCCTTTAGATCTACCACTGGCTATCTTATATTTACGCTCCTTGTTTTAGACTCACCAAAAGGTGGAACCCTAAATTACAACCCTATAGTTCTGATTACTGGCACTGTTTAATGTGCTTTGGATACCTGTGGGCATTCCTCCTGACCCATAACTGTTGCCCAGTGTGTGACAGATGGCACGAAACACTCCAGCTGAATACTGCTCAGTCCACGGTTTATCCTGTAAAATAAAAGACAACTGTTTAGTACAGGTGAAGGGAAAACGTGGTTGTTGCGTCCAATATCCCAGGCCCATGTTATTAGTGAAGTGCAAGCACATACATTCTATGTGCATTCTGACACTCCAATTCAGGGTCGGGGAATACTACATTGTTAGAGGTGCCATCCTTCGGATGAGATATCATCTACGCTCCCATCTGACATTAAAGATCCATCCATTTAAATTGGTCACCTCAGTCTGTTGGATACAACAGTGAAAAATAATATATTTCCATTCCTTCATGTTGCTATCTCTGCTGTGATTAAGTAGAAGTTACTTACTACGAGATTTGCTTTTGCAACCCAACAGGTCTCAGGAAATCCTTGCATCTTAGGAATGAATACCTGAAGGCAACCATTCCAATGACAGATGAGTAGAAGTGTAAAGCAAACAGCGACTATATGATAAAGTAACCGCAATGGTTCCAGATTGATGTCTGTCATCTAAAAAAATTAAAACATAAAAAATTAGTAAGAGACAGAAGCATGGTTTACCATTTTAGCCTATCCTAGTAAGGTTTTATTCAGTGTCACTGGCAAAGCTGTCTATCTGGAATCCTGGTTCGAGCACTAACAATGTAAGCGAGAGGACCTGGGTTCGACTTCCGGGCTGGTCAAAACCTTAGGCAAGTTTTCTTATGCCACACACTTCTGTTTACCTAGCAGTAAGTAGGAACCCGGTTGTTAGTCGATTGGTGGATCGCTTTTCCAGGGGTAATAATCTTTCAAAATAATAATAATATGGTCACTCAATCCACAACTGTTTGTGGGGCACTGCTGTCCACAATAGGCTGCTGCGTTTCACCCACAAAATATACAGTCATTACACTTTGCAATATATTCTGTGAAGGGTTTGGAGACGTCTCAAAACGTGATAAGGCAAAATATCACATTCAAGGATTATTATTATTATTATTATCTGTTCTGTGCTCTAAGTGAGGCTCTTGATACTGGAGCAAGATTGGAAACAGTCTGGAAGATGTCCATCGTCTGAAATGTCTAATTTCTACAAAAAAAACCTGGAAAACACCAATAAACATTGACTGATCTAATCCTATGCTCTACAGTAATATCTGTTCATGCTGTTGGTGCGTTGGTGCAGCACACTGACACCCACAATTCTCATGTAGTGAGTTTCTGATCTCAGCCATGCCCATCAGGGGGAGGTGTTGGCCACAGACTACACCACACAGAAGGAAAGACAACTGGAGGGCAGGTCACCTCTGAGCAATCTCAAACACTTCCTAGTTGGCTTGCTCAACAGCAGTATTAACTGAGGGCAAGGGATTTTTAAAAAAAGTTGAATTAGAAATATAATAAACTGGGGATATATATGTTTTCTCTACAGAGCTCCCATGTTTGTTACCGATTGTGCAAATATGAATTAAAATTGTATAGAAGAACATTGTATGCAAATTCCAGATATTTTGGGAGTCAAATTACACGCAAATACTTAAACTGTGTGTAAAATAACATCTGATGTTTTTTCAACAGTAGTGTTCAATATTAATAATTTTCCCTGCACACACAAGCTTAGTTTTCCACATACCAATCAGAATCAAGATGCAAATCATGGCATAATGATCTCAAATGTATGGTTGAATTCCTGCGGGACATTCGATCTGCATGTTGCTTAAGGTTGCCAGATTAATCACTGTGGCCTGTCAAGGTCAAGCCTCTCCAAATGTGCTTCTGTCCCTGCATATCCCTTGCCCTCACAAATGGAAGAGTCTTCACAGAGTCTGATGGGATCTCCCACAATAGTAGCAGTCTTCCAACACCTTTTCAGAACATACGTAAGGCATGAAACGTCCAGAGGGTTGAGCACGAGAAAAAGTCAAAGCAACCCTAAAAACAAGAATTAAACAAAGTATGTAGGGTTTTGGGGGGGCAATCTCCCATTATTTTGCTTCCTATTTCTTCTCTATTGTCCTTGGGCTATATACAAAGAAACCTCATTATAGACCATTAGCTGGATCTGATATCCAAGGCCCCACGATTTAAGCAACATGTGAAAAAAAGTCTGATTACTAGGTCATCAGGTCGCCACTGAAATCCCTCCCTGCCCTATGTGCAGGAATTGCTACTAACATCACTTCCTGCGTGCTGCGCACGTTCTCTACGTACAGGTTCTGCCACTGATTTGGCTTTCTTCACAAAATGACATCAGCAGCGCTTCCTGCGTGCACAGTACACAGGAAATTGGTGGTGCTTCTTGTGCAGAGCGCGTGAAGTGACATCAGCGGCACTAACAACCCAAAGGGGACATTTTGAGCATGAGAATTTGGCTAGTCAACACGAGAAGTCGGGTGTAACGCACTCCTTGTTAGTGAGAGTCCGCAGCAGATCCACAGCATCAGTGAGGCAGTGCTAATCCTAAAGGGGGCTATAACGGCTTCCCATGTATCAACTGTAGCTATGAGGACTGGCACACAACCTGAACTGATGGGGAAGTAACAAGCATGAACTTCCCCCCCCTCTATTGGATTACACTTCTCCACCTCATGGCACCACAGCTGAGATTGGTAAACTCACCATTGCAGAGGATTGCAAGTGTAACCTGAGACAAAACAGTGCACCAGCATCCTACCTCCCCTAAGTTTCATCTTTGAACTTTTCAAACTTGTGTTCGTTTCAAAATGTTATTTCCATTTGCAATCACTTTGACGAAACATGATTCTTGTCAGTCTTAATTACAGACTTTCTTAAAGATAGAAAAAACTTATTGTAACAATTGGCCTTTAAAAGGCCTCAGTTGAAAACTTATAGATTTTGTTCGGAGAAAGGTACTGCTGTCTCATTATTTTACAAGAACAAAATTCCTCACTTGTTGCCATTCCTTAATGTATCTCATTAGAGTAGAAAGCCGGAGAAGTCGTATCATTGTCAGTATACGAACAAAGTAGAGAAATCTTAGAAACTTGGAAGCAGTAGTAAAAGAAATCGCAGAAAGCCCAGCAACCTGAAAAACAAAAGATATATAATATATATATATATATAAACACTATAATGAACCCTGCTTATAACAAACTTTTTAAATCCTGATTTAACGATCCCAAAGGCAAGACCTGATTTTTTGCACCTCTTTGACCTGGCCAAACCTTACTATAGTGAACACCCTGATATAATGATCTTTTCTGCTAATCCCGAGGGGATAAGTTATAGTGAGGTTCGACTGTATGCCACAATTCTTTTTTTAGCTTCCAATATTATTTTAATATTTCACAATAGTGCAGCACCCTACAACTACTGGAGTCTCTTAGCATGGTGATGGGTTTCTGCATGTGTTGGACTCCCGACTGAGCTCGAAACACACTGGGTGCATAAAATCATGAGACCTATGAGACACAGCAAGGGGCATAAAATCCGATCAGTATTTGGTGGCATCTTTCATACCTTTATTTAAATGTTACGTATAAAATATCAAGACACATTTGTATGTTTTTTTATATAAATATTGATATATTGCATAACATATCTTCATGTCCTGATTTTGTTTGGCAAATTTGTGTTGGCTTCATCAACCCACATGTTAAGTTTGCGATTCATCCTCTCACAAAGTGAAATTTGGGGAATTCTGCATTAAGGAATTAATAATATTAATAATCGTTGCATTTACACTTCAATTAAAATCAAAGAATTAGAATGAAATAACCAAATTCCAACAAAAGTATAGAACAAGCGTTATGTATTTGTCATTAAACATAGTTGCAACATAAGCTGTCTGCAGAATGAAACAATTGCTCATTCATGGAGATAGAATTTAGTTTAGAATACAATCCAGCTTGATATTGATACCTTGATAAGGAAGAATATAGAGTCCAGAGGAAATGCTGAAAATAAGTCAATCAAAAACCAGGTACTGAGGTACTTTGTTCCAATAAGTTTTGGATCCAGAATCACTGTCTGCAGGTAAGCATACACAGAATTGCCTTAGGAAAGCGATTACTATGCACAATGTAGTTTGTGTGATACAAAGTGATGTTGTATTTGTTAAATTGACCAACAATGAATCAGAATGTTTTATTTTCTCAAACTGTAACATCCAGCTGCATTGTCATTGAAATCTATTAGACAATATTATTGTTATTATTATTAACCAGCTGCATTGTCATTGAAATTTAATAGACAATATTGGTTGGTAATTTAGTAACTCCTTTGGTTCTACCTCCACCACTGTTCTATTCAGTACCAGGGTGCCCTGCATTCTGGAGATGTTGTCCTTTGACATTAAACTGAGGTCTCATCTGCAGCTTCTGTCGGATATTAACAGATCCCAAAGCATAATTCAAAAAGAAGGGAGATTCTCCCTTTAACAAACCCCAGATAAAAAAAAAGTCATTTACTTTGTGTTTGTTCACTGGACATTGCTGTGCACTAATTAGCTGCCGGTTTTATCTATAAAATATGCAGTCACTACACTTCACAGCAAAATCTTATGATGTCTCCCAATGTGAAAGGTGATGTATCAAATGAAACGATTATTATTATTAATATTATTATCATCATCTTACTTCCTGATCTTCAGTAGCAATGCCCACTTTGAAATTTATAAAGATGTCTAAAATATACATCATGTCTGACAGCAAATTGAAAATTCTCCATCCATAGTTTTTTGAGGCGTCGTCAAGATTAAAGAAAGTAATTCCAATGGGTGTAACGATAAGATTGCAAGATGTAAGTATCAGCATAAATAACAGATGACAGTTCCTAAAAACACAAAAGAACTACTTCAATTAATGACATAACCAGATCAGATATTAACATTCTCATGTCGGTCAGAAACAACAGCATTGTAGAAATACAGAACTTGCATTTTTATACTCCTTTATCAGGCTACCTCAAAATGTTTTACAGCAATTATTGTCATGTGTAGTTACTGTTTTCTGTAGGCAGATGTAACTGACATTTTGTGCACAGTATGATCCTACACATGTACTCTGGCGAATTGTGGGCCAGGACACAGGAGAAATTCCTTTCTCCTTTCAGACAACATCATGGGATCTCTAACGTCCAGGCAGGCCAAAAGACCACCAACAATGTAATTGCTTCCAGAGTGTCCGATTATTAATTGAGATTATGATCTCAAGTACCTTAGAAGTATGGCCTTTAAATAATGAGCCATTTGCTTATTTTTGATATAAGCAAGGTTGTTTATTGCTTATTCCATTACCATCACCCCTTATTGTTGTTATTTAGTTTTCTTTTGCCTTCAGGGGCATGTGTGGTTAAAGACATCAACTTGTATTTACTGTTTCAAAGAAGTTCTGGTTATCCTCCTCCAAATTCACCTAATTTCAATTTAATTTCCGACTCATGTTTTTTTTCTGGGAAATTGCTGGTGCAAATTGTCTGCCTTGATTGACTATTTTTTAAAAAAAATGCCATATGCTGGAAGCGGAAACTCTCTTTGGCCGTTTGCATAGCTGTAGCAACCAATACTGAGGGATCTCATGCACTTCCCTATCCCCTCACCAATGTGTTCTTATATAACAAGGGGATCTGGCCCAGGATTGACTGCACCAGTCTCAGTGAAGGGGAGGTAAGGGGAGGGGGTCAAACAGGCTCAGTGAAGGGGAGATAAGGGGACGGGGTCAGACAGGCTCAGTGAAGGGAAGGGGGTCAAACAGGCTCAGTGAAGGGGAGGTAAGGGGAGGGGGTAAGACAGGTTCAGTGAAGGGAAGGGGGGGGGAGAGCTAGGCCAGTGGGGTGGGCACTTGGGATGAACGCACTGACCTGAAGGTGCTGTACGGGTGGATGATGAAGCTGCCTTGGCGAGTAACGCGGTTGCATTCGTTCATGATCGCCTCCTCGCTGCCGTATATGAACATGGTCAGCTTGTCCACCGGGGGCTGGCGGCTCCGGTCCAGTGCCAAATAGCAGGAGGAGCAGAATCGGCGGACATCCCTGAGGAAGGACAGCGCGGTCCTCCTCTTTGACCACCAGCCCTCCTTCCGCTCCTCGGCGCCCGGGACAACCGTGTAGCGGGAATCCTCAGTGTACATGTCCGAGGGCAGGCTCCACTCCTCTCCAACACCCAGGTCCAGGTCCAGGTCCAGGTCAGGGTCAATCTTCCCTTCCCTGGTCTCCATCTCGATAACTTTGCTCTCCTCAGCATCCCATCGCCACGTCTCCCCTCCCCCTGTCTCCCTTCCCACTGTCTCCTCTCCCCCTGTCTCCCCTCCTCTGGTCTCTCCCCCATTCTCCCCTCCCCTGGCCTCAACCCCTGTCTCCCCTCCCCTGGCCTCTCCCCCTGTCTCTTTGCTCTCCCCGCCCTGGGCTCCCTGGCTCCTCTGTTGCTCGGGGACGCCCTGCTCTTGTTTGGTTGCCTCTGCCCCGCGATCATCGAGCGGATCCATTCCTCTCCCTCCCTCCCCCTCCGGTTCAAATCGCACCTGTGGTCCCAACTGTTGAGGACAGGGGTCGGTTTGCTTTTCTCTCTCGATTTGAAAGCGTTCTGGAATTAAGAGCTCCTGATCCGCAACGATCCGCAGCAAATTGCTCCACTTTGGTTAGATTGCAATCTTGCAAATACTGTAACACGCATTGGCTCTAAAGTTGTACTGTGCATGACCTTAGGTAGTAATAATAATAATAACAATAATATTTTGTAATAACAGGTCTTACGTAGAGGAGAACTGGGAGCAGTCTTTTGGCAAAACTCTACCTGTAAATAACGATTGGCTAAAATTATATGTAACATGCGAGTTTACTACACTCAGAGACTTATTTCTGCAGTAAGGTATTTCTGGAACGTATTTCAAATAGAAAATTGTCATTGCACATTTTCACTTTTTTTTGGAGGGCGGGAGGGAGAAATGTAAGTGGGATTCTCCATAGGACTGAGTTGGCTCCAATGTGATGTGCCTGAAAACGAATCATTGAATTGATCTTTGGATGCGGTTCATAGAATCCAGTTCCTGAGGCAGATGGGTCCACAATAATAATAATAATAATAATAATAATCCTTGCATTTTGATATAGCACTTTTCACGTCGGGAGGACGTCCCAAAGCGCTTCACAGAACACACTGTAAAGTGAATTGACTGTATATTTGTGGGCGAACGCGGCAGCCAATTGCGCACAGCAATGTCCCACAAACAGTCGTAGATTGAAAATGACCAATGTATTATTGTTTTTGGTTTTGGAGGGATTATTATGAGGCGTGTGGAGTAAGGAAACTTGCCCAAGGTTTCGCCCTCTGCCTGGAATTGAACTCAGCTCTCTTGCTTGCAAAGCGAGTGCTCTAACCACTGAGCTACAGGACTCCACAATGCTCACAATACTTGGCAATACTCCCAAGGTACTTGATGATCAGATCAGACAGCCTTGCTCATCAGCAGGCCTTGGAGGAGCAGAATAATCAGTCATTGAGGGCATGGATTGTTCCCTCTCAGCTCCTGCAAGTCAATGCGTGCAGGTTGTGGTGCGAGCTTGAACAAGCAGCGGAAAGCTTGTCAGATAATGTTTGGTATGACACATTATAATAATCCTTGCATGTGATACAGCACCTTATCATGTCATCGAGATGTCTTAAAGTGCTTCACAGAATATACTGTAAAGTGAATTTACTGTATATTTTGTGGGTGAAACGTGGCAGCCAATTGCGCACTGTAATGTTCCACAAACAGTGGTGAATTGAATTTTTGGGGGAGTGATTATTATCCTGGAAAGCGACCCACCAATCGCTTGGCAACTGGATTCCTATTTACTGCTAGGTAAACAGAGGCATGTGGAGTAACAAAACTTACCTAAGATTTCGCCAGCCCGGGGATCGAACCCTGGTCCTTTCTAAGGGGAGCACACTAACCACAACGCAAAGGGACTCCACAACATCACTTACATTGAGAGCAGCATGGCAATATCCCACAAACAGCCATGAAGTCAGTGACCAATTTTATTTGGGGGAATTGTTCGCCAGTTATGACACAAAAACAGAACTAGTTTACATGCATGCATATAACACAACACAATATGCCTGGTCTCGGGATACATTTGATCATCAGTCTGAAACAGTCATAGAAACATGAATAAATAGATGCAGAACAGTGCCAAAGATCTGTCTTAATAATCTTTTGGAGTTTGTGTTAATTCACTGGAATGCATTGCTTTTAATTTCTAAATCACCAATGTTGATAAAAGTGGTATAATTTGGGGGGAGTTATCCGAATTCTTAATAAAATGAGTACAGTAGTTATAGATTTTTGTAAATGAATGCATTCTTTAGTTATCCAATAATTTTCAAGTTATGTAATTTCTCAACCATTGAATCTAAATTCTTCAATAGATTAAATGCTTTAGAAATTAATAATTACATATTTCCTATAAGAAATAGGCAGTTTGTGAGACGCACTGTGCACAAATTGACTGCTGCATTTGCGTACAAAATAAACAGTCACTATATGTACAGTAAATTCTGTGAAGTGCATTGACATCTTCCTGAGATGAAGAGTGCTATATCAAATGCAAGGATTCTTTTTGTGTTCAAAGAACCCACACATTGAACCTGAATGTGAAAGTGAATCTTAGTCAGTAAAGGAAGGGAAAATATATTTTGTCCCAATGTGAACAATTCATTGGAACACACCGTGTTGCACAACCACAACTATGCCCTATTATTTATTCTACTTGTAAACAAATAGTAATTAACAAAGAGGTAACATGAGAATTGTGCATCTTGATTTGTGATTTACCTCTCCATGGGCTAATTAAGATGTTTTGTTCCAAAAATATCAAGATAGGGGTCGTTTTATTGTAAATCACCAGTTCCTTTTTTTTAAATGTTTTTGCTTATATTTTTTTGAAAACTTTAATTATTTTACTTGGTTTCACCACCAATTGCAGGCCAATTTGGTCACTATATTGTGTACCAGCAAAAACGTTGAAATCATAAGAGTGCTGTTCAAAAAAAAATTCTGTTGTGTGTGTATATGTATGTCACATAAATAAATATGTTATATGTTAATTGAATATATATATATGTGTATGTATGCATGCAGCATAACACATTGCATAGGTCTGTGGTTTGCTGAAATTAATTTGCTTGTTTTGCCATCAAGATAGCTCAAGGATACTTGGGCTTCTCATGATTACGGTACAGCTATTTTTGCTCTTGTCGTATGGCACGACTGGTACAGTTTGCCAGGAAAACGTTTGGGACGCGGGACATGTTTTTTTTTGGGGGAAAAAAAACGCCGCGATGAAGAAGAAGGCTGCAGGGGTGGGTCTTCCGGAAGGAGACACGATCTAATCGGCCGAGGGCCATTCTTCATCCAAACCGATCTTGTAATACCAAGAGAGCGGCACAAATGAATTTGCCTTCGGAACTTTTCCCCTTTATCTCTATGGCAAGTTTCCTTACTCCACACAGAGCCTAATAATAATCCCTCCAAAACCCAAAACAATAATAAATTGGTCATTTTCAATCTACGACTGTTTGTGGGACATTGCTGTGCGCAATTGGCTGCCGCGTTCGCCCACAAATATACAGTCAATTCACTTTACAGTGTGTTCTGTGAAGCGCTTTGGGACGTCCTCCCGACGTGAAAAGCACTATATCAAATGCAAGGATTATTATTATTATTATTATGGCGGAGCGTCTACCCCTCCGGGCTCCAGTTGGGTCGCAACTCAATTGTGCGGAAAGGCCAGGTCAGGGAGTGTATTTTTTTTCCCCCACAGAGTATATATTTATATGCATAAGCAAATGAAATCCACCCCCACCCACAAAAGTGCTTCAAGGTCGAGAGCACCATTCAGTCACCTTCACAGACACCCCTCCCCCACTCATAGAGCCACGTGACCGCTCTGTACGGTCATGTCTTTCACCCTGACCCAAGCGTACGTCAGAGAGAGGGAGGAGCTTGCCTGCCTCCGGAAGTGGCGTGCGTACGCCCTCCCTCTTTCCCCCTCCCCCCCCCCTCCCACCACCACCCCAAAACCCCCCCGGGAGTTGTAGTCCGGTCCACCCCGCGCACCCAGCGGCCTGATGGGAGAGTGGACTACAACTCCCAGAGATCGCCGCGGCCAGCTCGCTCGCTCGCTCTCCCGGCCTCCTCCTCCTCCTCCTCACGCGCGCGCGCGCACGCAGGCAGCGAGCGAGGACGGAGCTCGGGCTGTCTGTCCCGTGACCGCACGTTGAGGCGGTGGGGGACGAGGGATGTGAGAGCTTCAGAGATTAGGGGGAAGAGGGAGAGAGAGAGAGAGAAAAAATAAATATATATATCCCTCTCTTACGTCACCCAACCCAAAAAAAAAATAATTTATTATTATATATAAAACGTATAGATATATTAGAAAGAAAGCGGTGCGCGCGCGCGCGTGTGTTTTTTTCGGAGGGGGAAGATGTCGGAGATAGCGGCGGCCGCGACGGCGGACAAGGCCTGCGGCGGCGGGCAGGCCCCCGGGGCCGGGGCCGGGGAGAAGAAGCCGCTGAAGCCGTGTTGCGCCTGTCCCGACACCAAGAAAGTCAGGGACGCCTGGTAATGGCGCGCACCGCACTGCACTGCACTGTACTGTACTGCACTCCGCGGCCTTCACCGGGGTGGGCTGGTGTGTGTGGGTGTTTTTTTTTGGGGGGGGTGGGGAGGGAGTGAGGGGGTGTGGGCTGGGGGGGGAGGGAGTGAGGGGGTGTGGGCTGGGGGGGGGAGTGAGTGAGGGGGGGGTGTGTGGCTGGGGGGGGTGGGCGGGGGGGGAGTGGGGGCTGAGGGGGGGAGGGGAGTGAGGGGGGTGTGGGCTGGGGAGGGGAGTGAGGGGGGTGTGGGCTGGGGAGGGAGTGAGGGGGGTGTGGGCTGGGGGGGGGGGGGAGTGAGGAGGGCTGTGGGCTGGGGGGGGGAGTGAGGGGGGTGGGCTGGGGAGGGGAGTGAGGGGGGGTGGGCTGGGGAGGAGTGAGGGGGGCTTGGGGTGAGTGAGTGAGGGGGGTGGGGCTGGGGGAGGGAGTGAGGGGGGGGGGAGGGGGCTGTGGGCTGGGGAGGGAGTGAGGGGGGGGTGTGGGCTGGGGGAGGGAGTGAGGGGGGCTGTGGGCTGGGGAGGGGAGTGAGGGGGGGTGTGGGCTGGGGGAGGGAGTGAGGGGGGCTGTGGGCTGGGGGGGGAGTGAGGGGGGGTGTGGACTGGGGGAGGAGTGAGGGGGGCTGTGGGCTGGGGAGGGGAGTGAGGGGGGGTGTGGGGCTGGGGAGGGGAGTGAGGGGGGGTGTGGGCTGGGGGGGGGAGTGAGGAGGGCTGTGGGCTGGGGAGGGAGTGAGGGGGTGTGGGCTGGGGGGGTGGGCTGGGGAGGGAGTGGGGGGGTGTGAGTGGGGGGTGGGGTGGGGGGGAGTGAGGGGGGTGTGGGTGGGGGGGGGAGTGAGGGGGGGGGGGGGGTGTGAGTGGGGGGGGCTGTGGGCTGAGGGGGGGGTGGGCTGGGGGGGGGAGTGAGTGAGGGGGGGTGTGGGCTGGGGGGGGAGTGAGTGAGGGGGGTGTGGGCTGGGGGGGGGAGTGAGTGAGGGGGGGTGGGCGTGAGGGGGCTGTGGGCTGAGGGGGGGGTGGGCTGGGGAGTGAGTGAGGGGGGGGTGTGGGCTGGGGGGGGGGGGTGAGTGAGGTGGGTGGGGGGGGGGGGTTTGGGGGGGGGGGTCGCTGCAGGGCCTGGCTGCTCGGAAAGGCCTGAGTGGGTGGGTGGGTGAGTGAGTGGGTCCTGAGCTGCTGTGAATGGATCAGGTTTGCAGTGGAGGCACCACAGGGGCTGGTCTCCCCCCCACCTGCTGGTTTCTGTCCTCTCGCTGTCCTTCAGGGGGAGAGGGCAGAGAGAGATCAGGAAGGCCATGCAATGGGAAGCTCAATGTCTCTCTTACTACAACAACAACAACAACAAGATTACGTTTGCATAGCGCCTTTTGAACAGCAACAGCAGCAGCAACTTGGATTTGTACAGCGCCCTCCACGCCGGACGGCGTCTGGGAGCGCTTTACGGTTTAGGATCCCGGGGACCGAGCCGGGGGGGGGCGGGAAGGTGACCAAAGGCGCGGTCGAAAAGAAAAGGTCTTCAGCAGACCGTCGGGAGGACGTCCCAAGGCGCTGCTAGAGGGAGGCAGCCTGACGGAAAGATTTGCCGTAATCGTCCCTGAAGGCGTATTTTTTAAAAGAAATAAAAAAATATATAATGTGTGTCAGGGAAGGGTAGGGGTGTCACAAACTGTAAGACTTAAATTATTGGCATTGGTTGCTTGTATTTATGGTTATTTAGTATCTATTTAAATGAATATCTTTTTTCTTCTTAAAAAAGTAGATTGAGCAACAAGTCCTTCACCATGTGAAATTATGCTTCTGTAACTTGCATAAGTCCTATCTCCATTTAGAGCCCTATCTTTTTTTAAACCTCTTGAAACTTTATGCAGGTGTTTAGATTATTAATGTTATGGATAATCATTGCCATCCCTTTCCGACGGAGAACGAGAGATCTGCAGATTAATTGAAGTAGATAATAATAGAGCAGTGAATTATGCAATATTTTAATTATTCGGCAGTAGTTTGAGCAGTAGTTCAGGAAATTATATTATTTTATAGCTTTAACTCCAGCATTTGGTGTTTGTTTATTTATACAATGCACATACGGGAGTTTTAAGCTTGAAACAAATGCAGTATTTTTAAATACATTTGTATAAATACATATAATATATATTTTGATATCTGTGCGGTGTTTTTACAGTGACTAAATTGGTTATTTACACAACCATTAGGCAGTGCTAGTGATGACAAAACAGGAGCTCGTTATGAAATGAACATGCCATACTATATTCAACATTAGTCTATTAACTATTCTAGAATGGAAACTTTCTTTAATCTTTGGCTCTTTTAGTTCTGTTTCTAATTTTGGGTGTGGTGAAAAGCAGATGCATTACCAGTGTGTGCACTGTATCCTACCCCGCAGAATATTTATAGAATTTAGAAAAGTGATATATATGTTGGTTAAAAAAATTAACAAGTCAAGGAAGGTTTCTTGTGACATGCACAGTGTGAGCTTACGTACTCCAGAGTTTGAACCAATCAATTTTCCACTTGTTTTATTTGCAGTATAATTGAGAAAGGAGAGGAAAACTGCAGAGACCTTATTGAAGCTCACAAGGATTGTATGAGGGCACTGGGATTCAAGATCTGAGAGGGCTTAATTTGAGTGTGTGGTAAGTACAGTATTCCCTTTTCCAGCATTCTTGATTTCTAGGACTGCTCGTCATCATTTGTCTAAACAGTACCTCTTTACAGAAAAATATGTTAGCAATTGTAAGCATTACATTTAACTTTATTTAAATATTAGAGTAATTGTGTTTTGATTTTTGCCCACTCTGGGCACACAACGATAGTCTTGATCATTGATAAGGTGCCATATCAAATGCAAGGATGATTATTATTAGCCAAACTAAAAATAAACAGTTTTCATTACTTGAATAACTTGGAATGATCAGTTCGAAGGATTCTCGTCAGCTTTCATCTCCTCCTAAATGAGAAGAGAAATCATACTTTCTCTTTCCTTTTATCCAAATTTTTTACACTCAAACTCAGTTTGGTTTGAATACTCTAAAACATGGTGATAAGTTTCCGAATGAGTAGACACCCAGCTCACCCCAAATAAATTGTCCCCATTAATCATGATTTTTTTTTAAACCCTTGTTATCCCATGGTGCTAAAATCAATTGTAACTCACCTACTGCTGTTCTGATTAAAATTGATTAATCTGGAGATCATGTATTACTGGAACCTTCCTTGTATGTGTCTTAACTGATTACTGAGTAAACCTGACAATGTTTATTGCTACCAGGCATTTTAATTGAGTCTTCTGTTGTCCATTATTAACAAGTTGGAAGTGATAATAATAAGAATTATTTAGTGGCAAACACTTACTTCTCGGAGCTCTTGCTTCCAAATACTCCAAATTGTGGAGTCCTGCAGCTCAGTGGTTAGAGCACTCGCTTTGCAAGTGAGAGACCTGAGTTCAATTCCAGGCAGAGGGCGAAACCTTGGGCAAGTTTCCTTACTCCACACAGCCTAATAATAATCCCTCCAAAACCCAAAATAATAATAAAAATTGGTCATTTTCAATCTACGACTCTTTGTGGGACATTGCTGTGCGCAATTGGCTGCCGCGTTCGCCCACAAATATACAGTCAATTCACTTTACAGTGTGTTCTGTGAAGCGCTTTGGGACATCCTCCCGACGTGAAAAGCGCTATATCAACTGCAAGAATTATTATTATTATATTACTCAACACAGATGGACAAAAATTCTTGGTTCTGAATGTGGTTCTGAATGTGACTGTAATTTGGAACTAGAAAGAGAAGCCAACAGAATTACTACGCAAGTTTATTTTTATACACGCACCAAATCTTCAAATCAGGGATGTATATGTGGTAAACAAATTAATTCAAATTGTGCTCTTAAAATGCGTTCTTTACTAAAGAGGGCAAAGATGAATAATTCGTGTTGGCTCCTGCCTTCAAAATGTAATTACTTCATATTACTGCACATCATTTCACAGTCCGTTCTTCCTGTTTATACCAACCAAAATTTCTCTTCCCTTTTATTCAAAACACACTGATTGTAGCAATTTTTCGTTTTATTAACCTCAAATCAGAAAACTTTATGAGCAGACTTGGGTTGCAAGCTCCTTACCCCAGGCTGGTTTCACTCAACCAGATGTATTTGCAACTGAGAAAACATATCTGCTAACCATGTTCAAATGCAAACCTCAGCTGAGATCATCTGAGGTGCCACGCTTTGGTTGATGTTAAACCAAGATCCCATCTGCATGTTTGGGTGGATGTTAAAAAAGAAAGGGTAGTTTCTCCTAGTGTCCTAGATCAACAATCCTCGTGGAACATTGTGTGTAGATTGGCTGCTGTGTTCACCGACAAATATAGTTACTATACTTTAAAGTATATCCTGAAATATTGAGACATTCTTCTCACGTGAAAGGTGCTCTCACCAAATATAAGGATTATTATTTTCCTCTAACAGCGTTATTTATCCTTTCCTCTAAAAGTTGACGTTTTCATGATTAATAATATAAAAGTCCTTGCATTTGATATAGTGCTTTTCACGTCTTCGAGACATCTCAAAGCGCTTCACAGAATATACCGAAAAGTGAATTGACTATATATTATAATATATAGTCAGTTCACTTTACAGTATATTCTGTGAAGCGCTTATTATAATGATAATAATCCTTATATTTGATGTACAGTAATAGCTTTCATGTCAGGAAGATGTCAAAGTGTTTTATAGGATTTACTGTAAAGTGTAGTGACTGTATTTTGTAGGCGAATGCAGCAGCCAATTTTAGCGCAGAATTTTTTGTGTTATGCATGTGTTTCTCTCATTTACACATTTTCTTTCTTTTCCTGTAAACAGATTTTGTCTTTAGGTAAACTCAGGTGATGCTTTGCCTGAAGCTGAATGAAGATGAGAGGAATATGGATGGATTAAGTTATTTGCAAACTGGGAGTTATTGTAGAAGTGAAGTCTTACCACTGTCACTAAAACTGGAAAGTCGTCTTCAGTGATTCCAGAAGTCAGACAAACTGATATTTCTGCAATCTTTTGTTCACTCTTATATAAAATCATTGTTATTTTGAAATTTATGAGAATTTATTGTTCTTTAATAAAAACCTGAAAATATGATGCTCCAATGTTCCTCCTTTAACATGCCTTTTATTTAGTATTGGCACATCTTTCAATTTATGAACCCATTAATGGTAAGATACTAATGAGGAAACACTTTGGTATACATTGCACACCGTGGTTGACCATGGCCCGCGCCTTAGGATGTCCTCCCGATGTGAAAGGCGCTATTCAGATGTAATTTTGTTATTGAACTGGGAATAGCTCTTTCATCTATTTGTCGACAGCAGGAGTGGGGGGGGGGGGTGGAATCTGATGAAAAATTTGTTTAAGTGTTTATATTTGCAACCTTCTGTAATCGACTAATCCTTTCATTTGATATAGCACAACATCAAAACCTCTCAAATTGCTTTACAGAAACTCGATATTTGTATGCAAATGTAACAGTCAATTTACATAGAGCAATGTCCACCGACAGCCATGCAGTGAATAACCAATTTTGTGTGGGGGTCTATTGGAGTCCTGTAGCTTAGTGGTTAGAGTACTCTCCTCGCAAGCGAGAGGATCCAGGTTTGATTGCCGGGCAGCGCGTAATGTTGGGCAAATATTATTACACCACATGCCTCTGTTTACCTAGCAGGAAGTAGTTGTTTGGCGATTGGTGGATTTCTTTGGGTAATCCTTTTTCAAAAAAAAAGTTCTTTGCATAATAATAATTTGTCACTCAATCCACTCTGTGGGACAATGCTGTGCACAATTGGCTGTCGCGTTTTGTCCACAAAGTACACAGTCGGTTCACTTTACAGTATATTTTGTGAAGCACTTAAGAAACTTTGAAGACGTGATAAGCTGCTACGTCAATGCAAGTATTATTATTATTGACTGGGACCCTGGAAGAAACATTTATGGAAAAAAATGGTGCCATGGGATCCATAAAGGCACACATCACTTCAGATTAACATTCATCTGAAGGCACCTCCAACCTTGCAGTGCTCTACCAGCCCTGTGTTGGAGTATCAGCCTAGAATACAAATCCAAAATACAGTAGTATAATAACTTGCATTTATATACTGCTCTTTCACACAAAAAAAGTCAGAATTGACAAATGTAGAGTTGTTGTGGTACCAAGCAGGGAAATTAAAGATTTCAAGATCCTGACTAAAGGCACAAACAAAGATGTTTTTAGGGAGAGACTGCACTGACTCTGGCAACAAGTGATAAAGTAAACAGAAGATTGAGAGTATCCTGTATGATCAAGGTCTTTTGAGATTCTGAAGGAGCTGGAAATGAACACTTGGGAATGTTGATGGAACCACTGCTTCTTACACATTTGTCCAACCCCAATTAGAAATGGTCTATCAACAGCTGAAACTGAGTATTACAGCTGCAGTATTTAATAAACTACAATCTAAAGAATCCCATTGAAGAATCAGATATTCATATTCCTTTTCAAATATGCTATTTTGTATTTGAATGAATATCCAAATTACAAATAGATTTAGCAAATGTGGCTTTTTTGTTTCAAATGAATGGGGAACAAAATACTTTTAAGTACAGAGATGAGAAATGTATAATGTAGAGACCTACAGAGGTCATCAATGTTTGCATTGAATGGAATAGACAATTTCAACTTACATCTTATATTTGAACATGTCCTAAATCAGGAGTCAATTAAAGTCACCCCACTGTGTACTTTGGCTATTTCATCTTCCACTTAATTAATTATTGAGTCTCTATGGCCATTTTGTAGATTTTAGTATAAATTCCTATTACCTATGAACTTGATAGCTGATCCAGATCTAGTCTCTGAAAACTGCCTGATTCTTAACTTTATTAACTTGGATTCTGATCCAATTTTATCAGTTTTCTACGGTGCCGCTAGATATTCAATGGTCTAGCACCCTTCATGCGGGGTAGTGTCCTGGAGCGACCTTTATTAAATCTCCCCTTAACCTCCCCTGCTCAAAGGAGAACAATCCCAGCTTCTCCAGTCTCTCCACATAACTAAAGTCCCTCATCCCTGGTACCATTCTGGTAAATTTCTACTGCACCCTCTCTAAGGCCTTGATATCCTTCCTAAAGTGTGGTGCCCAGAATTGGACACAATATTCCAGCTGAGGCCTAACCGGTGACATATAAAGGTTTAGCAGAACTTACTTGCTTTTGTACTCGATGCCTCTATTCATAAAGCCAAGGATCCCATATGCTTTTTTAACAGCTCAATCAACCTGTGCTGCCACCTTCAAAGAGCTGTGTAGGCAAACCCCCAGGTCTCTTTGCTCCTGAACCCCATATAAACTGTACCATTTAGTATTTATTGCCTCTCCTCATTTTTTCACTCAAAATACATCACCTCACACTCATTGGCAGACCAGGAGCGGGGATATTTCTCAATTGGCTCCTGCTTACCCTGCAAGCCCCAAAGCCCTAATTGATAGCATGGTCCAAGCTGGACAAGCAGTGGGAAACTTGCCAGACAGTGCTTTCAATGGCAAGCTATGCAGTTTTGGCTGGTTAAACAGAAGTACCCCAATGCACACTCTGGGGGTTCCCAAGCCTCAGCTCTTGCCAACCTGGGTCTAACACTCTCCGGGTTTAATTAAGTAAGATGTGTCTCACTGGAGACTGCACATTCCACTCCAGACACAGGAATTTTCATGTGTAGGTGACAACATATATGTTTGTCTCTTAGTCTGGTTTGGATACTTTTAAGCATGGTGATTGGTCTCCATATATTGCACATTGGGAATTTGAGCTTGTAGGCTGACACTTCAGTGCAATGGGGGAGCAGTGCATTGTCAGAGGTGCCGTCCTTCACATGAGATGTTAAAATCCGAGTTTCCTTCTGTCTGTTCTGGTGGATGTTAAAGATCCTATGGCCCTTATATGAAAAGCGAAATGACTTTCTCCTGGTGCCCTGGCTAATGATCCACTAGATAAAATTGATCATTCACTTCATATTTTGTTTACGAGATATTGCTGTGTGCAATTTTCGGCTGAGGTCACTTGCAAATACATAGTCACTACAGTCCATAGTAAATCCTATGAAACAGTTTGAGACATTTTGTTAAAGTGATGAAGTGCAAGATCAAATGCAAGGATTATTATATATTCTGATATTGTTTTGAATCTCAAGAAAATTTTATTTGACGATTGAAATGTTTAAACTTTATCTGTGTCAATAAAAGCACTTGTGCTTATAACCCGGAGATATTGGACAGTGAAGTAAAAAGCTTTATGCTATATACATGTTTGCAGAAACTCTGGATCTGTGAGTTCTCAATAGCTGGAACAAGAGACTCTGAAGCAAGGCACAAGGTCTCCATGTGTGTCCGATTCCAAGCTGATCATAACAGACAATGTGTGGAGTTCGTGGTTAGGTAATGACAAACTTGGGTATTCAATGATTGCAGGAGAAAGAGGAAACATTCACTGTTTATTTGCTGGGAAAGAATAAGATCAGGCAGGATCTTGGAGCAAATTTGATGAACTTGCATGTGCTTCCATTGAAATCCACTAGAAGGAGACATTTACAACAAATAATTGAAAACAATGAATTTGAAGTCCTGACAAGCATTTTCTTTCTGCTGAGACAACTAAAATTCACGGCGGAGAGTTCCAGGAGAATGAGGAGGCAGAGGCAGCCCTGGTCGCAGAGAGAGAGCATGTCGTTTGTTACTTTAACAAGCGCTGTCTCTGTGGTGTGGGCAGGGCAAAAAACATACTGTAGGGATTTGAGTAGGGAGTGGAGGGAGAGGTGTGAGAGAAGTTGATTTGCAACGACGTGTTCCAAAACCATGCCCACCTGAACAAGAAGACCTCTGTTTAATGTCTCATCCGCAGGATGGTACATTCAACAATGCAACACATCCTCAACACTTCATTGGAGTGTTAGCTTAAACCATGTGAGTTCATATGCTGACATGGGATACGGATTAACAACCTTCCCACTCAAAGGCAAGAGTGCTAATAGTGAATCAACCCGAAACAACCACACGGGATGAATTGCTGCACGTATCAGGCATCCAACTGACCGAAAGTTTAACTCTGCCAACTTCCCGTTTTACATTGTCCTCGTGCCTGGAGATCCCTTGTGACATTACTGCTGAAGATTCCATCTAATAATAATAATAGTAATAATAATCCTTGCATTTGATATAACATCTCATCATGTTATTGAGATGTCTCAAAGCGCTTCACAGAATATATTGTAAAGTGAATTGACTGTGTATTTTGTGGGCGAAACACGGCAGCCAATTGCTCACAGCAGTGTCCCACAAACAGTCATGGATCTAGGGCTTACTCTGAATGCTTACGTCAATTTCCTTCCTCTGAAGTGGGGGTGGTGGGGGTGGAGAGAAATGCTTAGATAGATGTTTCTCAAACTCTTTTGTCAGTTACTGTCAGGCAGTTAATAAACAGGCAGAATGGCTTCCTTGGAAATCTGTGCACCACAATTCAGCTTAATTGTTCTTCTGGCTATCTTTGGTAAGAAACATATATATTTCCAGAATGGAGTTACAAAGTAACTCTGGGATCAGCAATAACTAAATGAAGTTTGGTGTAGGTGAAGGGAATTGTGTTTGAGTTTTGTATAGATGGCTGAATAGGTAGCATTGGCGATTGCTATGTATTTAGTGCATCTATTTTTACTTTGGTGTAAGTCTGTTGAATGTGTCTTTTATACGCTTGTTTCTCTCTGTACGCATTCAATCAGCCTCTCCAAAACACTTTCCTCTCTCTGTGTGCGTCTACGTATAATATTCCTAAAACAAATAAAAGATTCTGCACTTCATTTAAAAACCTTGGTTAATTTGGGTAGATGTTTTAGGAAAAAATTCTTGCAATTGTAGTGCATATTTGTGTAGCCAACATTTATTTCTATATTGTGTACCTATTTTATTTCACTAATGTTAGGTATATGATCGAGCAGGTTTTATGGTGTCTTGTCAACAAAACCTGTTGAGTTTAATGTCATTTTAATCTTCATTGATACTTTACTCTTTAAGTTGCAGGATTTACTGAAGGCAGTGACAACAACAAGGAGGTTTACTGTCAACTGGGGAGTCCAGTTTTTTTAGATGTTTCGGGTGAAGTCCCAAAAGAAAAGCCCGACATTGCATGGAAACAGGGGACAAAACGTGTTGCAAATTTTAAACGCTCGGTATCTAGCTCATATGGAGAGTTTAAAGGCAGGGCAACAGTCTTTGGGAATGGCACTCTGAGATTAAACCCCACAAGTCAAACAGATGGTGGAGAATACAATGTTGAAATATTTAACGAGGGACAAAGCAAATTAAAACATAAAATACAATTGCATTTACTGGGTGAGTACAGCTAATTTAAACCTTTCCCTACCAGAATCCAAACCAATTTAAACCGATCAACTCGTCTGAGTAATAATGCACATCCTCTTTTAAGTTTTTTCGCAGTAACATTGGTTACTTTCAGATTTTTTAGGAAGCTGTAAAACCATTAGGTTCCTATTCTGTTTTGGGTTTCTAATGCGCCAGTTTTCATATGATCTTTAATATGGATTCTGGCTGTCTGTGTTAAAGATTATATAAGCACTCTAAGCCGCTAACCTGTGTGAAGGGCACTATAATAATAATAATCCTTGCATTTGATATAGCGCTTTTCACGTCGGGAGGACGTCCCAAAGCGCTTCACAGAATATACTGTAAAGTGAATTGACTGTATATTTGTGGGCGAACGCGGCAGCCAATTGCGCACAGCAATGTCCCACAAACAGTCGTAGATTGAAAATGACCAATTTATTATTGTTTTGGTTTTTGGAGGGATTATTATTAGGCTCTGTGTGGAGTAAGGAAACTTGCCCAAGGTTTCGCCCTCTGCCTGGAATTGAACCCAGGTGTCTTGCTTGCAAAGCAAGTGCTCTAACCACTGAGCTACAGGACTCCACTATACAGGACTATATTGTTGTTGTATAAATAGCAGGGACATTTGGCAACTCTGAAAAAAAGGTTTTGCCTGAATAGCTCCACTGCCAGGTTTAATGACATTTTGTTCACCTACAAATTGCACAGTTACTACATTTTACAATAAATCCTGTGAAGCACTTTTAGCCGTCCTTCCAAGGTGAAGGATTGGATTATTATTTATTATTATTATTAGTAGTATTAGAAACCAGCAATGACTATTGGAGAGCAAAAACAAGACCTGCTGTTACTTTAATACTCTTCACTGTGCTGCCAGCAATGAGACCTCTTAAAGCCAGTTTCTGCATTAAATTGGCTTCAGTGTAACTGACACAGTTCAGAATCCTTCCTTGTCTTCATTGTAAATATCATTTGCTTTTACACTGCAATTTTCTTACATGCACAAGTGATTTTTACAGATAAAATGACCCTCATGCAAGGAATGGGAAATTTTAAAACCACTGACCAAATGGTAGAAATAGAAAGTTTACACAAATATGAAATTGTCCAGAAAATAAACAGTTTGTACAATGTATTCTGTGAGGTCCGTTGAGATGTCTCATAGAGGTGATAAGGTGCTTTATCAAATGCAAGGATTATTATTATTATACATCATGATTTTCTTTTGGGGAGATGAACATTATATAGATCTCTGACAACCAGAATTGTAAATGTTAATTTGGTTCAGGGAGATGCTTAAGGTTTAATCATTCACTCACATAAGTACCTGTTATGTATTTTCACAATTAGTCTTTAATCTCAAGATTCTTTGACAAAAACATAAAAATATTTTAATATTTTAATATTAATTGGTGTGAAGTGTTTGTTTTGCGAATACTTTGCCCACAAAATATACAGTCAATTCATTTTACAGTATATTCTGTGAAGCGCTTTGAGACGTCTCAAAGATGTGATATGGCGCTATATCAAATGCAAGGATTATTATTATATTTGCACACATAGAGGAAAGTGTTTTGTTTAAATTCACTTAATATTTTGCTTGACTTGGCTATGTTAAAATATATTATCCCTCAAGACTCAAGGGAGAGCCTTCGACATTGGAAGAATGTCTCAAAGCCTTCAAAGAATTTACCTTAAATGTAATGAGTGCATTTTGTAGGCAAACACAAACTCAACAAGGTTTATAACTTCAAACAACATTTTATATGGTGGATTGGAAAAGGTTAATTTTAATCACCTATGAGATCAATTGAAGTCAGACGTTGATTTAAATTTTCCTAGAACAAACCCAGGTAGTGAAATTTCATTTCAAAATTTTTTCTTTTGCTGTGTCCCTTTTCCCTTGTATAGACATTTTCTGGTGTCATTGGAAAACATATACAGTTTTGTGTGACACCTTTACAGGTTAATGAACTGAATTTAAAACAGTATATTGTAGATTAAAATGAAATGAAAGGCTTAGCCTGTAAGGATATCCTTAAACACAGTTCATTGCGAAAGGAAATTCAAATGTATTGTCTGATTTTTAGTAAATTCAATGTTAAAGGTTTCAGTAGACACTCTAATTTAGAGACCTGAGGGGAAATGAATGAGGGTTACTTTGGATATTTTTAAACTGATTGCTGCTCGGGCTAGGTATGTATAGTAAATGAGGGTTAATTTAAGTAGTTTTCTCAATGCCTATTAGTTTACAAAGATAAAAAGTTCACATTATACTCAGTTACGTAAAGTTAATAAAAAGTTTTCCCTAAAATCAATACAAATAGAATAATTAATATATAATATAGGAGGAGACTAACCCAATAGTTTTGTCTTACGAAGTACTGTATTTTCTTGAAATTGAATAATCAAGAATCAGTGCATTTACTGCTATAATTTAGCTTTCCTTGAATCTTATTGTTTTGCACTGTATTGCCCTCATTGAATTTTTTGCCTAATGTTTATTTCTTGTCTCTTCGTTCTAGAAAGAGTCTCAAAGCCAATCATTGAGCATTATTGTATACATGAAAATGGAGTCAATATTACTTGCAAGGTGGAAAATGCAAATGAAGTCAACTTAATCTTGGATAACAGGACTTTCACTCAACGACAACAAAATGGAATGATGAGTATAATTCACATCTTCAAGAGCCTTGACTCCAACAATTGCACCTGTATCGCTTCAAATCAGATCAGTAGCATGAGCGAAACCAAAAATATATTTTGCAATAGTAAGTGAAGTTAAGAGTTAATGATGATAATCCTTTCACTTGATACAGCGCCTTATCATGTTGGCAGGACATCTCAAAGTGTGTCGCAGAATCTTGAAGTGTAAAGTATAGTGGTTGCGTATTTGTAGGGAAATCCAGCAGCCAATTTGCACACAACAATATCATACAAACAGCCACGAAGTGAATGACTGATTTTATTTGAGCGATTGTTGGCCAGGACCTAGGAAAAACTCCCTTCTTTTTTTGAATAGCACCATGGGAGCTTTAATGTCCAGCTGAACAAAAGGCAGGGCCCCCATTTCATTTAATGTCTCATCCAAAGGATGGCACCTCCAAAACGCTGTGCACCCCCAGCACTGTATTGGATTGCCAGCCTAGGCTTGTGAGTTCAAATTTATTTTATGAAAGAGGCACTATATGATGTACTGTAATCTGTTGCTGTGTGCATTTGTGCTTATGGCTTACCAGCTCAGCTGTTGTGTGAAGTGCACTCCACCCACCCCAACAAGTCAGTTGAAATATCTTGAGATGTCCTGCCGACTGGAAAGGCACTATCTAAATAACTCTAAAGAGCACTCACCTCACAAGCGAGAGACCTGGGTTCGATTCCCGGTAGGGCAAAACCTTAGTGAAGTTTCCTTACTCCACACGCCTGATAATAATCCCTCAAGAAAAAACACAATAATAAATTTTTCACTTCAATCCACGACTGTTTGTGGGACACTGCTGTGTGCAATTGGGTGCCGTGTTTCACCCACAAAATATGCAGTCAATTCACTTTACAGTATATTCTGTGAAGCGCTTTGAGGCGTCTAGAAGATGTGAAAAGTGCTATATCAAAATGCAAGGATTATTATTATCATTATTATATATTATTGTTATAAATTGCTGCTGAGATTGCTTCTTTAATATTTTGAATCTATTCCTTTTTAGCAAGTGAAACTGTTCTATCTATTAACTATATTCTAATTGCTGCTGTTGCCGTTGGAGGACTTCTGCTACTCATTACTGTGGTCTTGGTGACTTACTGTATACGCCGACGGCACCCATCGCAAATACGGCACGAAAGTAAGTCTGATTAAAGTCTTCCGTAGGTTAGAGTCTATCCTCGTTGAAGTGGTACCAGAACCACTTAAAGGTCAAGTTTAATATGGGGGTTTATTTCAGTTGAAAGCACTCCCCCACTCATTTAGATAAGTTACCGAGGTTTTCAAAATATCTCACTCTAAAATCCATTTTCGAATTGGTTTACAACCAACGAAAAGCTAAGATTTCAGGCTAGCGGCAGCCGTCAAGTGAACTGAGTTCCACAGAAGTCAGGAGTGAGTGGCTCAGTTGGTAACACTCTCGCATCTCAGTCAGAAGAATTGCGAGTTCAAAGCCCCATGTCAGGAATTGGAACTCGTAGACAAGGTGACTGGCTGTTAAATATCTCATGGCACTATTCAAAAAGAGAAGATAGTTTCTCCCGGTATTTGAACTAACAATTCTCCCTCCCCAAATAAAATTGGTTATTTGTTTCATGCCTGTTTGTTGCACTTTGCTATGTGCAATGTAATTCCTGTGAAGCGCTTTGAGATGTCCTCCCGACATGAAGGACACTGTATCAAATGTAAGGATTACTATTCTTAGGCTCCTTGACCCTGCTGCTCTCTCCCCTATCTGCTTTCGCACATGTGCCACGATATCTATAAACAGAACCAGAGCAGTGAGTTCGGGTAATCAAACCACATCTGAAAACCATCCACGATGTTACACAGTAATTCTAACTAAGTAAAAATAGAAAAACAAGAAGATAAAGGTGTAACTTCACAGTAAAAAATAGCAATAGTTTCCAAAGCTATCAAACGATAATGGAACTACTTGAATTCTAGTAAACATGTTTTTAAAAATTTCCATCTGTTTTGAAGCATGATGAAGAAAGAAACTTTATTAAGGGTATTTTGCTATTGGTTTCAGGACAAATTCAAGCCTTTTTTTGTTTTTTCCATGAATTTGATTTTCTTAACTATGACTCCTACTAGGTTTAGTAATCGAGAACAAAGGTTTTATAATGCTAATCCTTGCATTTGATCTAGCACCTTGTTACATCATTGAGCACTCTTTCAAAATGCTTCACAGAAATTTACTGTAAAGTGTATTGACTGTATATTTTGTTGGTGAACATGGCGGCCAATTAATGGCACAAACAGCCATAAAGTGAATGATCAATTATTTTAATCTGGCAGATTGTTGGCCAGGATACCGGGAGAAAGTCGGTGTGCCAATAGAATATTTAATGTCCACCTGAACATGCAAACAGGACTTTGGTTTCATATCTCATCTAAAGAATGGTACCTCCCACAATGCAGTGGTCTCCTGCTCCGTGATCCTATCACCCCCATCCTCACCCGCCTTCACTGGCTTCCCATCACACAGAGGATACAGTTCAAGATCTTGGACCTCACCTTCAAAGCCCTCCATGGCCTTGTTCCCTCCTACCTCTGCGACCTCCTAAACCCCTATCATCGTGCCAGCTCCCTCCGCTCAGCGGGCTACGGCCTGCTTCATATCTCTCCACCTCACCCACCTCCCTTGCCCCCTTCAAGACCCATCTCAAGACCTTCCTCTTTGACCGTGCCGTTGATCACTCTCCTTCCGACCCTGCCCTCCACCCTCCCTGATCCCCAACTCGGATCCGAAACACTCAGCGCCTTGGGACGTCCTCCCGACGTGAAAGGTGCTATACAAATGTAATTTTGTTGTTGTTGTATTGGCTCCATCAATTCTTGTTCTACTGCCTTGTTGTTCTGGGTTTACTTTTTCAATCCCATTTAGAATCATATAATAATCATATAATAATAATATTTACATTTGACATAGCACTTTTCACATCAGGAGGACGTCTCAAAATGCTTGTAGTGTAGTTCCTGTGTATTTTGAGGGAGAACAAGTCTTGTGCACCTCTGTAAAGTTTCCCTCTGAGATGTCTCTTTTCAAGACTGAGGAGTCCAAGCTTGTCTAATTGTTGTTCAGAACTCAATTTGCCATCTTCCTGTGAGGGAAGTGCCCAATGTCCTCTTGGTATCTACCTATGGTAATCTGGTGTTTAACTGGAATCATAGAGGTACAACTCTACTGCCCGTGTTCAGTGTGCTGTATCGTGGCACTGGCCTTGTCCACAATAGCAAACGCTGTAACAAGTGGTTTTTCTTTTAGCAACCAGCACTTAATCAACCTCTTATCTTTTACACTTGCCCTACGAAACTCCCCTTTGATTCATCCTGTCCCTCCCCACTTTTAAAGCCTGTCTCACGACGGCGGTTTTGGACATATCTCTTCCCCCATCCTCTTTATCTACCACCTCTCCAGCTCGGGTGCCTAGCCAGCTGTCTAATAAGTTTACCAATATTTTCTACGTATCCTTTGACAACCAAGGAAAATAAGTTACTTATTTATTTGTTACTTTGTTTGTAAGTTGTTTGTTTGAAGGGTTTTTAACCCTGTTATTAATGAGAGTTTCTTCGTTTTTTAAGGCAGCGCAAACAAGATGCTGACTACAGTAAAACAACCTGCAGTACCCAGACAGCAGAGGCGACAAGGACCACACCCAGGACAGCAATATGGAGACATCAATAGGCCACAGCCACCACCCCGGAAAAGTAGAGAGAGAGTGGAGAGAGGAGCGATTGCAGAGAGAGGACCGAGAGAGCAGAAAGGACAGAGAGCTGAGAGGATGGAGAAGGGAGAGCTGAGAGGCCAGCGGCCTCAATACTGAATCAAGGCTTCCTCATGAAAACATTGCTCCTGAAGAACAAAATATCAGAAGATACAAATATTTGTAATGAAAGGCTTTGTTCGCCCTGGTCAAAGTGACAAATGACATTCTGTTCATCTGCGACCAGGGCTCCCTCTGCCTCCTCGTCCTCCTTGACCTCTCTGCTGCTTTTGACACTGTCGACCACTCTATCTTCATCCACCGTCTCTCCTCTAACCTCAACCTCCACGGCGCTGTCCTTGATTGGTTCAGATCGTACCTCTCACACCGCCTGCACTTCATCTCCTCAAACGGCTTCTCCTCTTAGCAATCGGACCATTTTGTGCGGCGTTCCTCAGGGCTCTGTCCTTGGTCCCCTCCTCTTCAACATCTATATACTCCCTCTTGGTGACGTCATCCGCAGACATGGGGTCAACTTCCACATGTATGCGGATGACACCCAACTCTACCTCTTTGCCTCCACCCTTGACTCCAGGACCACTGCTGTGCTGACAGAATGTCTGTCAGACATCAAGTCCTGGATGAGAGTTAACTTTCTTCAGTTAAAGAAACAAGACCGAGGCTCTCCTGATTGGCTCCCGTCAGCGCCTCCTCACCTCAGGCGCTGACAGCATCACCATCCATGGTTGCACACCCCACCTTGCTAAGCCAGTCCGGAACCTTGGGGTGTTGTTTGACCCTCAACTATCCTTTCTACCCCACATCTGCACCATGATCTGCTCTGCCTTCCTCCACCTCCGCAACGTTGCCCGGCTTCAACACTGACTCAGACCGCAGGCCGCCGAAACCCTCATACACACCTTCATTACATTGAGGCTCGACTGTGCAAACTCACTACTTGTCGGCCTCCCCAACTCCTCCCTCCACAGGCTGCAGATCATCCAGAACTCTGCAGCCCATGTTCTCTCTTGGCTCCACGACCCTATCAACCCCATCCTTGCTCACTCCACTGACTTCCCATCACACAGAGGATACAGTTCAAGATCCTGGTCCACACCTTCAAAGCCCTCCACAGTCTTGCTCCCCCATACCTCTCCAACCTGCTAACTCCCTACCACCCTGTTTGCTCCCTCCGCTCAGCGGGCTCCTGTCTGCTTCATGTCCCCCGCCTTGCTCGCCCCACTATCGACGGGCGGGCCTTCTGCCACTCTGCACCCACCCTCTGGAACTCCATCCCGCTGACTCTCCGTCTCGCCCCCACCTTCAAGTCCCACCTCAAGACCCTCCTTTTCGACCATGCTTTCGATCTCCCTGCTTCCCATGTCTCTCAGTGTTCCACATGACTCAGTTTAAAGTGTAATGACTGTTTATTTTGTAGATGAAAGTAGTAGCTCATAGAATAAGACTGAATGAGTCAACTGTACATTAATATTGCGGATCATGAGCTACTGCTGGTGACTGACCATGAGTATGAAAATAAAGGTAGCGTACGTTTACGAAAAGCAAATGCGAAGTGGACAGGCATCTAAAGATATATTATTACACACTTGGAGGTTTCCTGAACAATTGCTTTTCAAGGATATCTAAAAAAGGATACCTAAACAATTCCAACCCCCAACCCCCCTCCCCTCCCCCCTCCCACTCCCCCAACCCAAAATATAATTCAGGTTTACTCATATACAACGTAAATTGCTAAATCTTGTAGTAGACGGCTCCAGTTACGAAGCACGTCTTACTAAGCCCGGGCATTCCAAGAATGAGTACATATATTTAGAATTCAATGAAGACCATCTCGATACATTTAAACGCAATAAGGAATAAGGTACATTGCATGCCTCCAGCCTTTGTCCCTCTCTCCTCTTTCTCTATCGTCTTCAAGTCCCATCTTAAAACCTACTTCTTCAACCAGGCTAACCTTCTTTCCCCCTCCCCACCCCCCGCTCAGCATCCACCTCTCATTATAAAGCACTGCAAGATGTTACTTTCGTGAAGGGTACTATATAAATGCAAGTTTTTGTCATTGCTGCAATTTTGTCTGAAGGGCATTCATTTGAAAGAAATCCTATGTAATAAGAATTTTATTTTTAGAAATTGGATATTTGAATTATGATTACTGGTGAAAAGTTCAAAGACTTACATTTGATGTAAAAGGCACTATGTAAATGCAATTTTGTTGTTTTTGATATTGCCTTATAAGGATAATCCTCAAATTATTATTATTATTAAGTCGCTATATAAATGCATTTTTGTTGTTTGTTGTTGATTTTGCCTTATTATCAATTCTATTTAAGTGTAGTAGTTTCAAACATGTACACACTATTCATAAAAAGAGCAAGAGGTAAGTGGTAGTTTTATGGTTTACTTTATATTCAGATCTCCCAGTGTTTGTAATTGTAACATTCAAAGTCCAACAAAACTGACACATGAGTGAGGTGAACCTCCGCTGACTGCCTGAAAAAATAATGGTGCGAGGAAATCAGAAACGTAGGCTGTCACTGACCCATTCTGCAAATAAATTAGATGTGTATCTTTTGGAATCATATCCTTCCTGTCACAAGCATCTCACACAATGAAGAGGCTTTGTTGCAAAAAGCATATTTGGACGCTCAGTCGGTTCAATACTTAACTTGGATCTGAAGCTTGTTGCGGTTGACAAAAAGAATACCACACTTGAACTTGCTGGGGCCGAACAAGTTCTGACGCACATCAACTCAACGTCCAAGACACTGTTGACGGTGACTGTGTGGCTCCACAATGAAATGTGGTGGTTTGGTCATATCCTCAATCAACAGTTATTCCCGTGAACTAAAGCTTATGCTTTGCTTTGGCATTTCCTGTTGTTTCAGTTGAATGTTCTTGCTTAATTTAAAAACTGTATGAAATCACACATTAAAAGTATCCAATATTTCTTGAAGAATTTCTCCCTGGCTCCATTAAAGCACATTTTATGTTCATAAGAATGATAAGTCAGACATAGTTCTTTCAGAACTATAAAAAAGATTTGTTTCAAATAAAAGACTCCCTCTTTTTCATGTCACAAAACTAATCCAAGCAAATCACTATGGCATTTTGTGTAAGTAGATTCCTAATAAATTAGCTGCACAATAAACTGCACCATTCACTTTGAAGGCGTTAGCAGAACTTCAGGGGAATGAAATTAGATTTATTTTATTCAGAAAATGCAGAGACTCTCTTATATTTTCTAAGTTGCATTTGTAGCATTGAATGTTAGCGATTTCAGTGCTATCTGCTCTATGGCATTTCCTGTTTATCGTTTTGCCCCCAAAATATACAGTCAATTCACTTTACAGTATATTCTGAGAAGTGCTTTGAGACGCCTCGACGAAGTGAAAAGGCTCTTTATCAAATGCAAGAATATTATTATTATTTCAATCAGTTTCTTGTCCTTTCTTCCCCACATCCGCGCCAAAGCTGGCACTGCCTTCCACCACCTCCGGAACATCGCCAGACTACGGCACTACCTCATCCCTCATGCTGCTGAAACACTGGTCCACGCCTTTATCACCTCAAGGCTGGACTATGGGAACTCTCTCCTCGCCGGCCTTCCCGGCACCTCCCTCCTCAAGCTACAGGTCATTCAGAACTCTGCAGCTCGTGTACTGTCCCGCACCAGGTTACGCGACCACATCACTCCCACCCTCGCTCGCCTCCACTGGCTCCCCATCCCCCATAGGATCGAATTCAAGATCCTCATCCTCACCTACAAGGCCATTCACGGCCTTGCACCCTCCTACCTCTCCAACCTCCTATCCCCCTACTTACCTGCCCGTACCCTCCGTTCCTCTGGCTCCGGTCTGCTCCACATCCCCCGCCCCAACCGCCCTACCATTGGTGGCCGGGCTTTCAGCCTCTCAGCCCCGAGGCTCTGGAACTCCATCCCCCAGTGCCTTCGCCGCCTCCTCCCTTTCCTCCTTCAAGGTCGGTCTCAAGACCTTTCTCTTTGACCGTGCCTTCAGCTCCCCTCTCGACTCTCTACCCCCTCCTCGCTCCCTCCCTTCCCTCCCCTCACCCTGACCATTTCCCCCCTGCTCGGGTCCCGACCCAACTGTCCAGCACCTTGGGACATCCTCTCGATGTGAAAGGCGCTCTATAAATGCAATCTTGTTGTTGTTGTTATTGCATGTGCTGCACTGGCTGTGTGGAAATCGCTGAAATCCTCTTGGAACGCTTTGAATGGAAAAGACTTTTAAAAAGCCTTCCCGAGTCCTGACAGAGATCGTGTTAGGGCCATGTTGCAGGAAAAGCTTTAAAAAAATGCTCCTTTCAATTCTTGTTTCTGATAGACACAACTTTCTTTGTCCACTTGATAAAAATATACTTCTCTGACAGATTTATTTCTGCTATTTACTTTTAACTTTCCAGTATAACTTTGCCACAGTATGCTATAAATGAAAACATCTGTCCAGCGTCTTGAGACGCTATACAAATGTAATTTTGTTGTTGTTGTTGTTATTGGTCAACATTCCTGCTATCTCCTTCCATGTTATCTTACTCAGCCACAGCTTGAAATATCCAGGTACTGACAATAGCACGAAGTACAAGCGCAAACTCTGAGCTGCAAAACTTATCGTTATAACCATCACAGAGTGCAAATGTTATTTGCTGTTTTTTCCCCCCTGAAGAGACACATTTTTTCAGACACAAAAGAGCTGAAGGTGTCTGAGGGTTTCTCTGAGTCACCACAACAGGAAACCTGCTGCGAATCTTATTCAGCGGCTCCGATTATTGCTGTTTGTTTCGCTCCAGCTCCAATACCAGTCGGGCATGTGGCTTAGGCAGTTTCACCCAGAACAAGTTTGACACCTGCACCCGCGGAACCCCTGGAGTGGTGTTAGTGGTGTTGGCATGTGTGTATGGGGGGCGGTGGGGGGTGAGTAAAGTCTCATTCACTGTCTGCTTCACAATAAGTAGATCACAGACAGATTGGATCAGAATCAGATAAGAAACCCTGAGGCCTGATCTGGAGCATTTGGTGTCAGCTTGGCTCAGTTCGTTACGCTCTCACTTCTGGCTTTGAAGATTGTGGGTTCAAGATCAATTTCCTATCCCCCGGGGGACAGAGTTCAAAATCCTCGTCCTCAC